TCTCACACTATTTCAAGCACATTAATGTTTTAGATGAAGTTACCTGAATTGATAATAAGCACCAATGCTAATGATGAATCTGATTCATCAATGGTGTTAGCAAGACGATCGATTGCAACTCCTATTACAACAAGAGTACTGATAGTGGCCAAAGTTAAAAAAGCAATTTCAATTTTCTCCAAATCTGATGGAATTCTTAACTAAAAAAGACATCAAAAGCATGCATACAACTGACTTTTACTGATGATAAAAAAAATAATTTGGTGTTGAAATAGTAATAAACAATTGGATTTATTGAATAATACTATATCACACAATTCTTGGGCCAAAACGCATGAAAAACCAAATCCACTTGAAGATATGCAGCATGTTAGAGCCAAGCTAAGTGTGTTTAGCTGCAATGTTTGGTGAGGTTAAATGTTTGCACCAAAATGTTGATTCTAAATTTAAGATGTGCATTGTCTCTTGGTTTTTAAAGTAAAATTTTTGTGGTGCACTGGACTGAAATGCTTATAATTGTTGTAGTGCACTGGATTGTAATGCTTATAATAAATTAAGAATAACTCACTTTGTTTAAATAATGTAAAAATCATGCACTAAAAGCATTAACTTTTTTTTAAAGATAATGGATGAAAAAAGAGTGCTAAAATCAGTATAGCCTTGAAAATAGTTTTGAGATTTGAAATATTGTAATATACGTGTAACAATAAAGACTGGTTTCCACTATTGGTTTAACGCGACAAACGCGATAGTGATTAACTTTAATCGCGATAATCCCATATAGGAACGTGGTAATAATCACAATAAACGGCGACTAACAGTCGCGACAAATGCGATAAAACATAAAAATTTTGATATTTATTTGCGTCAGTGCTTCCACTCCGTACATGCAAATTTTCCCTACTAAAACTATATTTCTCCCTACCTTCCCCTACGACCATTTTCCTTGTTTTCCCTACTTCCCCCCTCCCCTCTTCACAACAACATATTCCCTATTAAATACCTATGTCGGGTCAGACCACTGAATTTTTAAGTCTGTTTGTAAAAAAGTGAATACAAAAAAATTGAAAAACATTTGGACTACAATTTAGTAATTTGGGTAAGACGTTGTGACGTATTTACATGCCAGTGACGGAAATGACACATTGTGTTTATGATAAATTGCTAATCCTGTATTGCCATATATGTTCACAAAGTGTTCCAACAGAAAGTTTATGTTACAATCACTTCTTAAAATAGTGAGAACACAGGTGGAAAAGAGTATTTTGGGCAAAAATGAGAATAGACATTCTCATTTACAAACGATTTTCTTTTCATCCTACAATCCCCCTACATTTTACAGTTTTCCCCGTAGGTTTCCCCTACTACCTACAAACCACCAAATCCCCCCCTACTGTAGGGGATTTCCCCTACGAGTGGCAGCACTGATTTGCGTAAATCGCAAAATGACGTCACCTTGAATGAAAATTTAGAATGAATATAAATTAAATTTGTTGAGGAATAAGTTTCCATGCTTATATGACAAAACATGTATGGATTATAAAGACAAGTTTGTCGTGGCAAATGCTTGGGCAAAAATGACAGAAAATCTGAATCTATTGGAAGGTAAAAAATGTAAACAAAATATTGCAATTCTGCCACTCAAGCACACCTATATTTTGTTTACATTGTTTTACATTCCAATAGATTTTCTGCCACTTTCGCCCAAGCATTTGCCACGGCAAACTTGTCTTTATAATCCTTACACGTTTTGTGATAAAAGCATGGAAACTTACGCACTTCGTCGGCCGACTTTTCATCAAATTTAATAGTTTCTGGATTAAGTGATTGAACACATATTGAAGTCGCCATTTTAAATTCCTAAATTTTTATTCAAGATGACATCATTTTGGCGATTAACGCGAATAATTATCAAAAAATTTTGATATTTTATCGCGTTTGTCGCGATTGTTAGTCGACGTTTATTGCGATTATTACCACGTTTCCATATAGGATTATCGCGATTAAAGTTAATCGTTGTCGCGTTCGTCGCGTTAAACCAATAGTGGAACCAAGCTAAACTGTGCCCAGTGTTGTGGTGATCAAATAAAAATATTATGTATACACAAAATGCATGATAATTTCTCCCTCGTAATTACAATAACAGTTTTACGACAACGTCGTGTTTCCAACAGCTAAACTGGCAAAAGCTTAACGCAAATATAAAGTTGTTCATAAAAGTTGCTGCAGAGCATTTGAACAAAAATTGAGAAGGAATAATGCTTCCACAAATACACCGGAAGTTGAAAACAGCTAACATGTGGGTTTATGCGGTTAAAGTTACTCATTTATGTATGAAATGGCCAATATAACATACTTTTCCAAAAGGAGAATCGACCGTTCGAACAGCTGAAGGCAGAATAGTCAATTCACTTCGAGAGGTGGATGAGCTAGCTTCGCCTTCGTTGGATGTATCCGAATTCATTCCTTCAGCACCTTGTGATGTATTGTCGAATTTGTTATAAGCCATATGAAATGGTAAATTAAATGATTAGTCAAACAGAATTACAACGGGATGACTGTCAAAACGAAACGAGGCAATTATCGTATCCTATTCTGTATGCATTCGATTTCTGTTTCGATGTTTTCCCTTTAATACAGTTGTTTATAATTGCTTTGCTGCATGCTGGTGGAAGTAATTGCTGGAAGTTACAAAGATTTTAAATCATTGTCTAAAAGCTTCTCATGATATTTATACATCTATAAATCATTGTATTGTTTGATTTGTTTATTTTTTATTTTTGTTATCAAGATATAAATATATCTTTTTCATTTTATGAAAGATTTGGGAAATCTTAAAACCGAATGCCTCCCATTGTATTTCCGTGATTGAGACTTTACACAAAAACACACACAGTAGGATTAATTCGCGTAATATGCTGAGTAAAATTGCTAAATGTAAAAAGTAATTTCAGTCCAAGACCTACCTTTTCAAGAAAACAAACAGGATGCGAAATATGCAAAAATAATCAGTACTTCGAGGGTTCAAAAGATTTCAACGTTTTAATGGTTTAATGTATATATAATGACGCTAATTTCGTATTGGAATTCGAAATATCTTTAGATAAAGGCCATTTGTTATGAATTTCAAAAGAATAAAATATTCCCAAGTAATTGACTGTTGTAGCTAATCTATTTTGCCTAAAACTGGATCCAAGGGCATGCTGAAACCTTAAGCATTTAGAGAGGCTTAAAAGGTTCATTTCTACATAAAAGCCGGTAAAAACAGGCACAGTTCCACAAAGTATTTGCACTTTCAGTTTCATCTAGTTTGACATCACTTCGTTGATTTCTATTCGTGGATTTCAGAAAAAATGTTAGACTTTGCATCCTGGCGTGATAAGCGAAATCTAATTAAAACCTTATTATCTGTTGCGAGGCCGTAACCCAAAAGTTTCAGGGGGGATATACATTTGAGAAAAAGGGCTCGTGTAACTCAACTATATTTCTGGAATTTAACATAACATCAATGTCTTTAAATACCACAAATTGCCTTTCCTATGATTTCATTTTAAAGCTTTTAACGGTTCATTTAAAACTAAGTAAATCAAGCTACTGTATTTTGACAGAAAAACAAACCTTTTTTAATTCTGGGGGTGTACGTGCCACAAATTTCAGCAGTATCACTGGGTAGTCCATTTGTTCATGAATATTGGAATATGTTGACTGCATAAATTTTGTATACTAATTTTTCTTTTGACTTATTCTTACTTTCAAAATTTTTACAGAATACACCTGTGCAAGGTATACTCAGATTTCAGTACTCAAATGCAAAAATAGATATCCACTGCTATTAATCTCCCAAAAAGTTTTCAAATATCCTATCTTTTCGGAAATTCGATTTTTCTGAAATAAAAATTTCCAACATTAACAATTTGCAGCCATTGAAGTAAATACACCTGCAGAATATAAAATCTTCCTGAAGAGTTATTTCCTGGGCTTAAGTCCGGGACTTAAAAATATTAAAAAGCAGATTTGCCATTATTAAAGTTATATATCCATATTCCAAGAACGAACAGCCTTTTAACATCATTCTTTGTGTTTATAGATGAATACATAGAAGCAATCCAATTCTTACGTCTATTGTCTTGTCATATTTAGTGGAGTGATTGCGACCTAGTTGAAAAGGCGGTTTTATAACACAGATACATAACCACGTAGGTACTGGGGCGGTACGCAGTAAACTGCTGAACCTCCTCAAAAAATTTTATGAGAAGACTGAAAGCCTAAGAGGTCCAGATGATCTTGGCTTAAAAACGAGAAGCCCTTACCTTAATGCTATCACAAAAATTGATTTTGAAGATTTTCTCTTTTATAGTACAAAATCTTTGCCTAGTAGCTGCGATAGTCTTAAATAACATTAGAACTTTTAGCTGCTTTGACAAGTTTGTCTTCTCATTTATACTTCATAACTAAAAAACGAGCTTGAATTCAAGGATGTCTTTCAGACATCTATATCCAAATTCGTCTATTCTTGTTTCACGCTGTAGAATTTAAGGACGTACTTAGTTAGTAAGGTCATCAAGCGAAGGCTAATAACCTCATAAAAAACTGTGAGGAGGGCTTAAGCAGTGGGACTGACTTTTGTAGTGTCTGTATTTGATAGAAAACCCCACAATTTTACATGGACTGACTTTTTTCGTTTTTTTTTTATCAGTTCTGGATTAACGTTCGTATACGTATTTTACCAAAGCTAGGAGATGTTACTCTCACCACATATCCCTAACGTATTCATCCTCTATAATGTATGCTTCTATTGTAAATTTTCAACCAGTGTAGGTGAAAAGGGTTACCGAAAGGGTAAGGCCATTATAAAATGGCTGTTTCCAGACGTCTAGGTGTCTCAACTTTTAAAATTATTTATAACGCTTCTACTTTCTACTTTCCTTGTCTAGCCGCCATAAACCCTCTAATACTGGTAACGCGTCGAATACAGTCCGAAAAAGTTTTTACTAGCTTTAAAGATGTTTTCTTCAGAATGAATTTTTATACATAAAAAGTACAGATTTTAAAAAAGTTTAAAAAGTTGGCCGTATAATATATGTAGAAAAACACGGCGAGTGGGCCAGTCGCAGGTCACATAAACGTTCGACACAGGTAAAGCTCTACGCATGCGCATTGTTTATTAGTTATGCATTTAACTCATATTTCAATTTCATGGACTAAACTACTAAAATGCATGTCTGAGTCTCAGTTTTCGCTTTGGACGTTTCTGTTAAATGACTTAAAGCATGTCCCAAGTCATGTACAAAATCGTTCCCGTCGTCACGTTGCACAATCCATGATGAAGTCTGGAAATTGGACTTCGCTCAGTTTGCTGTATTTTTGTGCCCTTCCGAGCCTCCAAGTAACGGTAAGTCGGTAAGTTCTCTTCAAAATATTTATTAAACATCTCTACAGCTCTATCGAAAAACATTTCCTGGGTGTATGGAGTGTATGGTGTATGGTATGTTGGCATAATATATAATCAACTTGAGATGCAGAGCAAAGAACAAATAAGAAAGAAAAATGACCATGAATATTCTAGAATAACGAAAATGCATGGCAGTGTCCAGACATAAATTATTCTAAAATTTTTAAATTAATTACTATGTACAATTAAAAAAATACACAATTATTCCTGACTTTATCAATTTGTAGCACTTATGAAGGCAAAATGCATGTCAAATTTCAGGGATAAACATCTGTCAAATTCCAACTCACAACCAAACTAAAAGAAAAAAAGATAGCAATAATATAAGTACTTCCCAACATACATACTCTAGCGCAAAAAAAACAAACAAGAGAAACAAAAAAACTATTTGAACATTGCATTTGATAATTAATTTTAGTTTATTTTGCAGATGTGAAAAGGAAAACATGAAGAAATTCTTCACATGACAAAGGGTATGTAAAATTAGGTCAACTGACAAGGTATTGAGCATAAATACCTTGATCCTTTGGTGGTGAATTCATTGGCATTTTAGTATCATCATTGCTTGCAGTCTGTATGAAATAACAAAATTTTTTATGACTTATTCAGTGATGAACAGTAAATAACCATAATTCCATGAAAGAGTGTTGAATTAGTTGCACACCTGTTTTGGAGTTTTTGGTGCTTTTTGCCTCTTTTTATAAAAACAATTATAACTATGACTATTATAACAACGATTATAGGAACAACAATTCCAGCAATAGCTCCACCCTCCAGACCACCACCACTAGATCTCTCTTTGTTTATTGGATTATCTGTACAAATCAAATTTAGTCATTAGCCTAATAGCTTAATATTTAACATTTTCCATTGAATATAACTGTAGAATTTATGAAGTTTTCATGTGAAATCTACATTCAGTGAAAAAAATTAGCTTCCAGTGAAATCATTGTTATGTTTACAAGCCAACAAAATAAGAAGGCAGACATCAAAACTGCCCAATAAAACTTAGAATGGTGCAACTTTTGGCTTGAAGTTGCCCATATTTTAATTTGCTACACATGTTATAAACTGCTTTTGTGCAAGCATTAAAAAGATTTTTCATTCTCCTTAAAATGAAATTATTTCTTACCTGTCACTGTTATTCTTATCAAATCTGAAGAAACCTCTCCTACAGAATTTTTTGCATGACATTAGTATGAACTGGAATCCTCTTTTTCTACTTCATCTTGGTTGAAAAAATAGGGACCACTCGTTCCTAGAACTTGTATTTCATTATGATATAAGACAATATATGCTTTGGGTCTTCCATGAATTGAATGATTGCATTTTATTGTTATACGGTCTCCAACAGAGATAGTTGTATTGCTTACAATCAACTGAACTTTTGGTGGAACTAGGTGGAAAAAAGTGGTGTACAAATGCTGTTAATTTGCATTTTTGTGTGAAATCATTTCATATGCAAGTGAAAATGAAAGCAAAAATAACAACTATGAGTCAATTTATAAGGAATTTGACATTTTGTACACAGTTGCATCACAATAAAACAAGATATTGAGTAAGACATGTATATTTGAGCCTTGTCAAAGTTAGACAGTGGCCAACCAAATAGTGTGATTTAATGAAAATATCATGTATTACGATGAATGAAGTCCAGGCAAAGTAAAATGTAACCCAACCTGATATGTATAGCTCCTCTTGTGATGATACTTCTTCAGAATTGTTTTTGTCTTGTAATGTAAGCATGACTTTTTTCTTGTGCATAAATTCTTTCACTCCAATAAAACTGAAGGCAAAATAATTGTTTGATACATTTCCTTTCCAATGCAGTTCAGTTGAATAGCTTTTCGCCAATTCTGAAAGGTCAGATGTTGCTGTGTTTAAAGAATCCAAATCCATAATACATCAATCTGTTTGTTTCCCGGTTTATTTCATAAAAGAAATCAGTAGGGCACAATTCAACTGAATATGTGAATGCAACACGGCATGCGGGACAGCCCTGTGAACGAGGGCACGTTGTCAATAAGATGATGACAGTTATCTATCTAATGATTGTATTAAAAGATAGTTATTTTTAGCTGGGCCGTCGCTATGTTTTGATATATGGTTTACCAAGCGAGGTTTACATGGTTATGTACAACATATTACATTGAAGTCAGAACATATTGTCAATTTTTCTAGAGATAGTTGTCACTATCGTGTCACTTTATTTTACACATAGTGCATTTTCTTGATTTCCCAGAAAGTCTAAGTAAACAATCTTAGAAATATTATTTAAACGAAGTTCATTCTCTTACCAGACATCTATAATTACAAAATATAATTCTTACGTAAATTGGGTTAGCGTGCATAAATAACAAGAACGTTGTGAGTTCTAATGAAAAATTCGCAATCTTCAGTCATGAACATCATAATTCACATTTTCTCCAAGATAATCGTCATTTGAATTTGTTGGTTTGTTGGAAGGTTTGCTGTCTGGCTCTTCGCAATTACTTCGTTTCTTATCATCAGGGTAATAAACTAAAATAATTAAAGTAAAGTAGCTTCTCTTAACCCATGAACAGAAAAAATCCCAGTGTATTGAATTTGGTTTTTTGAGGAAAGACTTGTTGATTATTATTATGAATGAGGTTTGAATATCTATATTCAAATTAGTGACGACTATTTTGTACCTGCTTCTCTCAATCCTTTCCCAAAGTTGCGGACTACGATCCAAAGAAAGAACGATACCAAACATCGTATAACCAAGTATAATATTGCTATATACGAGGTGAAAAAGTAATGAATGTACAATATAGTTACAAATACAAAACAATCACACTACTCATATCTCGATAGCTTGTTAACGTACGGTACTCATTGGTCATTAGCCAGTTTTTACTTGTAATTAGCTCATTTGCGTTTCTCGTTGGCTAAATGTTCCCTCAATCGTCCCAATCATCTTGTACAACCATTGGAAATCATGCATGTCGTGGCGTCAATTATGAAATGATCTAACTCAAGAATCTAACTGAACAATCAAATCAAGAGATCTAACTCATAAATCAAATCAAGAGATCTAACTCAAGAATAAAAAAAGAGACTATCAGTTGTTAATCTTTCCAGAACTTTAAACCAAACTTTTTCAGGAAATGAACTACCTTGTTTTAAATCCTGTAATTTCGCTGGTATTTTGTTTATACACTAGTAGAGCTTTATTCAAAAGAAGGATCGAAGCGTCAGATTTCGCATTTTTCTAATTTGGTGACTGTGCATGGCAGTTTCAAGTTCCGATGTTTGAAACTAAAAATCCTCATGGCTATCATGTAGTAGGAGTAATTATAAGTTTCATCAAGTCTTACCACAAACCATAATGGAGATATTGATAGTTTTATCGTGCTTCTTCCAATCTATCCCAGTCTAAAAACACGAACAAACATCATAACTACATGCATTTACTACCCATGCATCAAACATAGAGCGGAAGTGTTCTATTCCATTTACCTTGATGATCTTATAAAATGCATAAATTGGCTGTGGAATGCTAAGAAGAAAAAATGCCAAGAGCCATGTTCTTTCCTCGTATCTGGGCTTAATTGATAAAGAATGAAAATTAGGGTTTATGCATTTTCAGTAGCAGTTTCAGTGGATGACTTTTTACAACTATCGTAATTGTATTCGTTACAACACAAGCTGAAGATAAACGTCTTAGAATCGGATTATATCACATTAACACAAAACATGTTTTTCGAACTAGTTTCAATTCCGTCAATACGCATCATATTTACCACAAGAAATCCAACAATAAGCCAAATTATTCCGACAAATATACCAACACAAAGAATAACTTTTTCATGATGAGTCGCATTTTCCACTCCAGAAGTCATGACCAGCACAATTAAAGATATCTGAAATTTGCGTCACATAAAATATTCTCTTTCATATATTGGACTACAGTAATGGCAACTACAAAACAATAATCAAGAAAATAAAAACCGTAGTTTATAATGTTGACTAAGTTACATACCGAAATTTCAAACTCCAATAAGAGCAATGTATGAAAAGCAAACATGTTCATGCACATATCTAAAAATAGAAGATAAAATATAGAAAATTAAAGACCACATGTCTACAACAACTTAATATTGAAAAAGTGGATTAAAAGCTTGTATCAGATTCCCTACGTCATATAGAAAACCAAGTGCCATACAGGAAATATACTACTCACTTTGGAAAGTTATGTTTGCCGAACGAACTGTTCTGATTATGAGGTTTTTCGTTGTATAATGCTCGTATGCAATTTTAAGGCAGAGCCCTAGATCCACTGCTCCTAGTACCAGCAATATAATGAGACGAACCTATAAAAGTAACAGAAGTGCCATTGTCAAGAGGTGTTTTACAAAGCTTTTATCAAATAATTAATTCGTCAACCACATAAGTGTTAGTCTGGGTGACTTAGGTATTTATATAACATGATAGTAGTGAAAACATCTCAATGGATGTATTGATTTCAATTGGTAAAACATACCGAAAAAATTCAGCGCGTCACCAGCGAAAAATGGTAATATGAGCAAATAGGCATATGAGCAAATACAGGAAAAAATCACATAATTGAATGTTGTACATTAGTTGGGATCTTGGTAAGTACAGTTTGAAGGAGACTTATTTGAATGAAAGCAAAATAATGAGACAAACAAATAAAGTTAAGAGATGCCTGTGTTCCAGCATTGCTTTGGTAAAACTGTGATCATACAATTAACTTTTCATGACTTGCCTTTGACAAGAGATGTGTTAGCAAACATTGCAAAATCAACAGATAAATTGCAATAAATAATACGCTGATGATATAAAAAACAATTACAATCAAGAAGGAAATGAAAAATAGCAACATTTTGAAGTGTGTACGGTGGCCCACAAGGGACATGCAACTTACATAAGTCTGTTGCTGCAAATTAAGTCGGTTGCTGCAAGTTAAGTCTGTTGCTGCAAATTAAGTCGGTTGCTGCAAGTTAAGTCTGTTGCTGCAAGTTAAGTCTGTTGCTGAAATTAAGTCGGTTGCTGCAAAATAAATGTACTTTAGCAAATATATCATGAAGTATTACCATAACTTTTAGACTATCGTCATCAATACAATCATCATTTTTTCGTTTTTTGAAACCATATTCTCTGAGTTTTCTTTTTAAAGTTCTACAACACATTTTTACGGCATGATGCTTGTCTAGAAGTAAGACTATTTCGTTGTATTTATATCCTGAATAAAAATAATTTTCTATTAAAGTCCTTAAAGCGTTTTCGTTATCTTCAGCAGCCATTTTTATTATTTATTCAGCAACATACGACAATTGCAAATCGCAGCCGCAGATTAATTTGCAGCAACAGACTTAACTTGCAGCAACCGACTTAATTTGCAGCAACAGACTTAACTTGCAGCAACCGACTTAATTTGCAGCAACAGACTTATGTAAGTTGCATGTCCCTTGTGGACCACCGTACTATACCACTTATATTGCCATTTACTTTAAAAAACATGTATAAGTTTGAACCCATTCAATGTTCTCCAGTGCTGAATCTCTGTGTGATATTATTACTGATAAAACAATATACGTGCCATATTATTACTTGCACAACTTAAAGTCAACTCTTTCAAATTCTAAAAAAAAGTTACCATCAAGACAGTTCTTGTTTTAATAGCATACTGGATAATGCAATATATAGACACTATCACTATGGCAACCATAAATGCCCCTAGCTGGAAAGGTCTCTCTCCAAACACTCCATGATATATGTATACCAGACAAAATACTAGAAACAGATCAATATTTGTAAGGCATAAGTACTATAAAAATATTAGGTCAAAATTTGCAAATTAGGTTGAAAGACTCCTCCCTCTCTTCCATTGGAGATTTTTAAGCATTGACAAAATTATCACCCCTCGAAGGGATAGTTTTAGTTCATGAGGAAGCTCTGAGAAACTTTCAATCTTTAGGAAGCAAAATTTGACTCTATTACATGAAAATCTCACACTATTTCAAGCACATTAATGTTTTAGATGAAGTTACCTGAATTGATAATAAGCACCAATGCTAATGATGAATCTGATTCATCAATGGTGTTAGCAAGACGATCGATTGCAACTCCTATTACAACAAGAGTACTGATAGTGGCCAAAGTTAAAAAAGCAATTTCAATTTTCTCCAAATCTGATGGAATTCTTAACTAAAAAAGACATCAAAAGCATGCAAACAACTGACTTATACTGATGAAAAAAAAAACTAATTTGGTGTTGAAATAGTGTTAAACAATTGGATTTATTGAATAATACTATATCACACAATTCTTGGGCCCCAAATGCATGAAAAACCAAATCCACTTGAAGATATGCAGCATGTAAGAGCCAAGCTAAGTGTGTTTAGCTGCAATGTTTGGTGAGATTAAATGTTTGCACCAAAATGTTTATTCTAAATTCAAGATATGCGTTGTTTCTTGGTTTTTAAGGTAAAATTTTTGTGGTGCACTGGACTGAAATGCTTATAATTGTTGTAGTGCACTGGATTGTAATGCTTATAATAAATTAGTAATAACTCACTTTGTTTAAATAATGTAAAAATCATGCAATAAAAGCATTAACTTTTTTTTAAAGATAATGGATGAAAAAAGAGTGCTAAAATCAGTACAGCCTTCAAAATAGTTTTGAGGTTTGAAGTATTGTAATATACGTGTAACTATAACTATGCCCAGTGCTGTGGTGATCAGATAAATATATTGTGTATACACAATATGCATGATAATTTCTCCCTCGTAATTACAATAACAGTTTTACGACAACATCTTGTTTCCAACAGCTAAACTGGCACAAGCTTAACGCAAATGTAAAGTTGATCATAAAAGTTGCTGCGAAGCATTTGAACAAAAATTGAGGAGAAAAAATGCTTTCACAAATACAACAGAAGTTGAAAACAGCTAACATATGGGTTTATGCGGTTAAAGTTACTCATTTATGTATGAAATGGCCAATAAACATACTTTTCCAAAAGGAGAATCGACCGTTCGAACAGCTGAAGGCAAAACACTCAATTCACTTCGAGAGGTGGATGAGCTAGCTTCGCCTTCGTTGGATGTATCCGAATTCATTCCTTCAGCACCTAGTGATGTATTGTCGAATGTGTTATAAGCCATATGAAATGGTAAATTAGATGATTAGTCAAACAGAATTACAACGGGATGACTGTCAAAACGAAATGAGGCAATTATCGTATCCTTTTCTGTATGCATTCGATTTCTGTTTCGATGTTTTCGATTTAATAAAGTTGTTTATAATTGCTTTGCTGCATGCTGGTGGTAGTAATTTCCGGAAGTTACAAAGATTTTAAATCATTGTCTAAAAGCTTTTCATGATATTTATACATCTATAAATCATTGTATTGTTTGATTTGTTTATTTTTTATTTTTGTTATCAAGATATAAATTTTTTTCATTTTATGAAAGATTTGGGAAATCTTAAAACCGAATGCCTCCCATTGTATTTCCGTGATTGAGACTTAACACCAAAACACACACAGTAGGATTAATTCGCCTAATATGCTGAGCAAAATTGCTAAATGTAAAAAGTGATTTCAGTGCAAGACCTATCTTTTCAAGAAAACAAATAGGATGCGAAATATGGAAAAATAATCAGTATTTGGACGGTTCAAAAGATTTCAACGTTTGAATGGTTTAATTTATAATATAGTGACGCTAATTTCGTATTGAATTCGAAATACCTTTAGAAAAAGGCCATTTGTTATGAATTTCAAAAGAATAAAATATTACCAAGTAATTGACTGTTGTAGCTAATCTATTTTGCCTAAAACTGGATCCAAGGGCATAAAAAGTTCATTTCTACATAAAAGCTGGTGGAAAACAGGCACAGTTCCACTAAGTATTTGCACTTTCAGTTTCATCTAATTTGACATCACTTCGTTGATTTCTATTCGTGGATTTCAAAAAAAATTTTAGACTTTGCATCCTGGCGTGATAATCGAAATCTAATTAAAACCTTATTATCTCTGCGAGGCCTTGACCCAAGGGGATATACATTTGAGAAAAAGGCTCGTGTAACTCAACTATTATTCTGGAATTTAACATAACATCAATGTCTTTAAGTGCCACAAATAGCCTTTCCTATGATTTCATTTTAAAGCTTTTAACGGCTCATTTAAAATTAAGTAAATCAAGCTACTGTATTTTGACAGAAAAACAAACCTTTTTTAATTACGGAGGTGTACGTGCCACATATTTCAGCAGTATCGCTGGGTAGTCCATTTGTTCATGAATATTGGAATATGTTGACTGCATAAATTTTGTATACTAATTTTCCTTTTGACTTATTCTTACTTTCAAAATTTTTACAGAATACACCTGTCCAAGGTAGACTCAGATTTCAGTACTCAAATGCAAAAATAGATATCCACTGCTATTAATCTCCCAAAAAGTTTTCAAATATCCTATCTTTTCGGAAATTCGATTTTTCTGAAATAAAAATTTCCAACATTAACAATTTGCAGCCATTGAAGTAAATACACCTGCAGAATATAAAATCTTCCTGAAGAGTTATTTCCTGGGCTTAAGTCCGGGACTTAAAAATGTTAAAAAGCAGATTTGCCATTATTAAAATTATATATCCATATTCCAAGAACGAACAGCCTTTTAACATCATTCTTTGTGTTTATAGATGAATACATAAAAGCAATCCCATCCTTCCGTCTATAGTCTTGTCATATTTAGTCGACTGATTGCGACCTAGTTCAAAAGGCTGTTTTATAACACAGGTACATAACCACGTAGGTACTGGGGCAGTACGGAGTAAACTGCTGAGCCTCCTCGAAAAAATTTAGGAGATGACTAAAAGCCTTAGAGGTCCAGATGATCTTGCCTTAAAAACAAGAAGCCCTTACCTTAATGCTATCACAAAAATTGATTTTTAAGATTTTCTCTTTTATAGTACAAAATCTTTGCTTAGTAGCTGCGATAGTCTGAAATATCATTAGAACTTTTAGCTGCTCTGACAAGTTTGTCTTATCTTTATACTTCATGACTAAAAAACGAGCTTGAATTCAAGGATGTCTTTCAGACACCTATATCCAAATTCGTCTATTCTTGTTTAACGCTGTAGAATTTAAGGACCTACTTAGTAAGGTCATCGAGCGAAGGCTAATAACCTCATAAAAAACTGTGAGGAGGGCTTAAGCAGTGGGACTGACTTTTGTAGTGTCTGTATTTGATATAAAACCCCACAATTTTACATGGACTGACTATTTTCGTTTTTTATCAGTTTCTGGATTAACGTTCGTATACGTATTTTACCAAAGCTAGGAGTTGTTACTCTCACCACATCTCTAACGTATTCATCCTCTATAATGTATGCTTCTATAGTAAATTTTCAACCAGTGTAGGTGAAAATGGTTACCGAAAGTGTAAGGCCATTATAAAATGGCTGTTTCCAGACGTCTAGATGTCTCAACATTTAAAATTATTTATACCGCTTCTACTTTCTACTTTCCTTGTCTAGCCGCCATAAACCCTCTAATACTGGTAACGCGTCGAATACAGTCCGAAAAAGTTTTTACTAGCTTTAAAGATGTTTTCTTCAGAATGAATTTTTATAGATAAAAAGTACAGATTTTAAAAAAGTTTAAAAAGTTGGCCGTATAATATATTTAGAAAAACACGGCGAGTGGGCCTGTCGCAGGTCACATACACGTTCGACACAGGTAAAGCTCTACGCATGCGCATTGTTTTATTAGTTATGCATTTACCTCATATTTCATTTTCATGGACTAAACTACTAAAATGCGTGTCTGAGTCTCAGTTTTCGCTTTGGACGTTTCTGTTAAATGACTTAAAGCATGTCCCAAGTCATGTACAAAATGGTTCCCGTCGTCACGTTGCAGAAACTATTATGAAATCTGGAAAGTGGACTTCGCTCAGTTTGCTGTATTTTCGTGCCCTTCCGAGCCTCCAAGTAACGGTAAGTCGGTAAGTTCTCTTCAAAATATTTATTAAACATCTCTACAGCTCTATTGAAAAACATTTCCTGGGTGTATGGTGTGTAATGTCGTATTTATGTTGGCATAATATACAATCAACTTAAAGATGCTGAGCAAAGAACAAATAAGAAAGAAAAATGACCATGAATATTCTAGAATAACGAAAATGCATGGCAGTGTCCAGACATAAATTATTCTAAAATTTTTAAATTAATTACTATGTACAATTAAAAAAATACACATTTAATCCTGACTTTATCAATTTGTGGCACTTATGAATGCAAAATGCATGTCAAATTTCAGGGATAAACATCTGTCAAATTCCAACTCACAACCAAACTAAACGAAAAAAAGATAGCAATAATATAGTACTTCCCAACATACATACTCTAGGGTAAAATAAAAACAAGAGTAACAAAAAAAACTATTTGAACATTGCATTTCATAATTAATTTTAGTTTATTTTGCAGATGTCAAAAGAAAAACATGAAGAAATTCTTCACATGACAAAGGGTATGTAAAATTAGGTCAACTGACAAGGTATTGAGCATAAATACCTTGATCCTTTGGTGGTGAATTCATTGGCATTTTAGTATCATCATTGCTTGCAGTCTGTATGAAATAACAAATTTTTTATGAGTTATTCAGTGATGAACAGTAAATAACCATAATTCCATGAAAGAGTGTTGAATTAGTTGCACACCTGTTTTGGAGTTTTTGGTGCTTTTTGCCTCTTTTTTATAAAAACAATTATAACTATGACTATTATAACAACGATTATAGGAACAACAATTCCAGCAATAGCTCCACCCTCCAGACCACCACCACTAGATCTCTCTTTGTTTATTGGATTATCTGTACAAATCAAATTTAGTCATTAGCCTAATAGCTTAGTATTTAACATTTTCCATTGAATATAACTGTAGAATTTATGAAGTTTTCATGTGAAATCTACATTCAGTGAAAAAAATTAGCTTCCAGTGCAATCATTCTTATGTTTACTTGCCGACAAAAATAAGAAAGCAGACATCAAAACTACCCAATAAAACTTAGAATGGTGCAACTTTTGGCTTGAAGTTGCTCATATTTTAATTTGCTACACATGGTATAAGCTGCTTTTGTGCAAGCATTAAAAAGATTTTTCATTCTCTTTAAAATGAAATTATTTCTTACCTGTCACTGTTATTCTTATCAGATCTGAAGTAACCTCTCCTACAGAATTTTTTGCATGACATTGGTATGAACCAGAATTCTCTATTTCTACTTCATCTTGGTTAAAAAAATAGGTACCATTCTTTTCTAGAATTTGTTTTTCATTATGATACCAGATAATGTTTGCTTTGGGTCTTCCATGAATTGAAAGATTGCACTTTATTGTTATACGGTCTCCAACAGAGAGAGTTGTATTGCTTACAATCAACTGAACTTTTGGTGGAACTAGGTGGAAAAAAGTGGTGTACAAATGCTGTTAATTTGCATTTTTGTGTGAAATCATTTCATATGCAAGTGAAAATGAAAGCAAAGATGACATCTATGAGTCAATTTATGAGGAATTTGATATTTTGTACACAGTTGCATCACAATAAAACAAGATATTGAGTAAGACATGTATATTTGAACCTTGTCAAAGTTAGACAGTGGCCAACCAAATAGTGTGATTTGATGAAAATATCATGTATTACGATGAATGAAGTCCAGGCAATGTAAAATGTAACCCAACCTGATATATATAGTTCCTCTCGTGATGATACTTCTTCAGAATTGTTTTTGTCTTGTAATTTAAGCATGACTTTTTTCTTGTGCATAAATTCTTTCACTCCAATAAAACTGAAGGCAAAATAATTGTTTGATACATTTCCTTTCCAATGCAGTTCAGTTGAATAGCTTTTTGCCAATTCTGAAGTTTCAGGTGTTGCTGTATTAGAGAATCCAAATCCATAATACATCAATCTCTTTGTTTCCTGTTTTTTCATTGAATTCGTTTAATTGAGCAAGAGCCATTTCCTTTTCTCCCGTGTATCGCCATTTTAAAGTTAAGTTTCCTCCAACTTTAACGTAAAGAGGATCTTTTCCTTCAAACCGAATGTTAACTCCCCCTTTAAATGCATATATCCATTTTAATAAAGTATTATAAAAATGTATTATCAATTATTAAGACTTTTCTTGATCGTAGATAAATACAGCAATAACACCTTTTATTTTATGATACTAGATCAAGATAAACACGTAACATTTATTGACATTTTTCAATATTCTCAGCATAATACTTCGCTAACAAGATCTACTGATGTATATCGTCAAATGCTGAAGTTTTTTTCCAGGATGTAAAGGAATGTGAATTGTTCACGTACACGAAATTCATTTGCTTTTTTGTCGATATAAGTAATCATTAGACGACATTAAGGCTAAAGTTAACTCATTCTTTAATTGGCGTAAAAACAAAAAATTACTTATATTTTACAGAATAAAAATTAAATCGAAAACATGGGTTCGTTCATTTGTTTATCTACGTAATTGAGTTTCATGCAAATCTTTTGTATTCGATTTATTTGATGAAAAGATCAAGGACCAAAAGACTCTGCATGAAACTTCTCAATAACTATTTGCTGTACAAACCTGAAAATTTTGTTGCCAAAATAATTAAGTTGATTAACTTGAACCACATGATTTTGCTGTCTGTAAGTCCGATGTGAACTATTCCTAATGCTTTGTTTAATTCGTTACAAACAATGAATATGAAATGAAGGACGCTGATTATTTATGTCTTCACATAATTTTTCCACGGGGAGGTCTTCCGTCAAAGGATGAGTTGACGTTCTTTTTCAGAATCTTTCTTTGTACTTTTTTCCACAACTTTCCCAAGATCCTTTTTAAGTGACGTATTGTGGTGTATGTAAGTATATGTTAAAGTATGACATTCTAAGTAGACACAAAATTTCAAGTTTCAGTTTTTCATTCATTATTATTATGGTATTATACGTAGAGTAAAATAATTGGTTTGATCTAAAGGACAGGATGAAAACCATCGACTTACATCAGTATCGTTTATTTAATAAAAAAAAACAAACGCCTGATGTATGATAATGCGAGACTCAGTGTGTAAATATTTCAAAATCATTTTTTTGTCATTATACAGCGGATGCTGTCGTATAGCAACTATGTGGACTTTTACATCATGTGCATAATTTTATTCAAATGTATTAATGTTTACGAGTGACGACGTCACAACTTTATACACCTTTGTGCATTAATATTGTTGGACTATTGGAAATATTACTGTATTTGTTCTTGTTCTGTTTCTTTTTCTGCGAAAGCAATGATTTCATCCGTTGTGCTGTTTTCTCTTGTCGTTTTTCTTGATTCAGGTATCGATTGCCAATATTGTGTATCTTCTCTTTTACGTACTTAAGATATTATTGGGCAAGTACTTCATACATGGTATAATACATTTCGTCGTCATTATATGTTATTCTTTGGGTATATTTAGGTTAGTCTTGTTAATTCTTCTCTTTCATATTTGTGTTTATACATCACATCGGGTTCACTATAAGTTTGTCACGTTACACATATAAAGTCGTACTGAGTCCTTGAATGTACGAGCGAATACTTCTTCTCAAACAATTAGAAAACTGTGTCCTTATACTGGAATCATTTTGCCCTGGTAACGTAAAAGGCGAGACTCTTAATAAATTCCAAGTAAAATGTAAGTTTTAAATGAAGAATTCTGTCGAAAATTTTGAAACAAACCTAAACTGTCACCTTTGCACTTATGTATCAACATAGGAGAAGCCTGTTTTAGACCTAAATCTTGTCAGTTTTAAGAACTCATGGTTAAATCGTGCGCAACTTCACTTTTCGAAGGATAGCAACGCATCTTTCCATAAATTTTCCCTTAAACACTAAAGCTTGGTAAGAAATTGATCATTACACTAAATATTTTTTTGTTAATAAGCTTTTAAAGAGGCACATCATGCATAGGTGTAAGATAAATGTAAAAATTGTAGAACAAACATTTAGCAGCTTACAGCTATGTTACAGATGACATAAAGTACATGCCTTTCTGATTAACCTGCTTTAAGTAATGCAAGAGCAAAAATAAAGTTTTAAAAGTATTGCTATCAAGCTATTAGACTCACTAAACACAAGAATTACTTTGATTCAATGTTTTGACCACTCTTTCTACAAGGTCATTCCACATAGGATAAGTGAAGTCCATTCTTTACTTTGGAAGAGTAGAATTTTGAACTTTCTCTTTTTAAATATAGAAGGACAACATTTTTTTGGTTGTGTAGAAGCTGCACTAAACATTAAAGTGCTTGCTCACTTACTTCTAACGGAGGATCTTGTTTCTATTACATACCAATGTCCCAAAACCATCTTTAGTTGCTGTTTCCATGCATTGATTATATAAAGAATGATTTCAAAAATAATTCAGATATTCTTTATTTTAAATCAACATTATAAACTTTTATCAAAGGACACAGAGTAAATTAGTAAATTAGTATGTATAGATCAGAATCATAACTACATTTCTTGTTGAGAAATATATATACAGGATCACTTTTTCAATCAATGTGCCAGAACTCTTTCACTCTTCTTTTCATGGTATGACAAAGATAACTTTTATCTATGAAAGTCCTTGCTAATCAAATTTACAATAAAACAAAGTTTCAACCCAAGCAAAAACCCCCAGCTTTCTGGCTTCTGAAATGGCTCACTGAAAAATATTCTTTCTTGAACTGTAAAACATGATCTTGAGCACAAAGCCTTACTGAAGATTAACAATCATCACAACATGAAAGAGATTGTTGAAAAATACAAAAGTTTACCACTTCTGACATATTGTAAACAAATAGTAGCTAAGTTTGTTCTAAGAATCAAGTAATGTTGAGTTCTAGCTTGGTGTTTTGAGATTTTATGCTTCTTAACTGAGATTTTTAACTTCTTTTTGCAAAATGCCTCTCAGTTGTATACAGAATGCAATAAGAATGACTTTAGCAATATTCACACAAACTCTTGATTAGCAATGGAAGTTTATGGAACATTCAGCCTTCTTCATTTTTGTACCAAGCTGCGCTTTGGCCTTTCTGTTTACAACCACAAATGGATATTACTCCTTCGGATGAAAATGGGTGGCAAACGAGTGACGGGAAACCGCAAGTCTGAAATCGTATGGATGACCATTCCCCTAGCGCCGGATTCCCTACTTGATAACGTTCATTGTGGTTGTAAGACTGGCTGCAACGTGGCTGTAACTCCCAACGTTGTTCTTGCAACAAAGCAGGAGTGACGTACACAGATGTATGGTCGTGTACTGCAAACACGAATGTAGATATTAATGACGACAATGATGTTGAGGAAGAGGAGTTTTTAGATGATGACATTGACGACGAATTCGAGGCAGACCTTTAAAAAAAGCGCGCCTTGTCTTGCACAATACGATTATAACTTTCAAAATATTATCTTCGCAACAATTGCTAAAATCCAACCTAATGCACGAGTGAAATATGTATTTCTTTTAGGCATTTTATTTATGTTGCCAGTATTATCCATTGAGCTCTATAAGACCTGGAGGGGCAAAGGGGCCTGGACCCCGTGGTCAAAAACATGGCGGTAATGGCGGATTTTGGTTGTCAAAACTTCCACTTTGAGAAAAATTTTTAACATTCGCTCCCTCCCGAAACGGATCTCTATTACTGCTCATAGTAATGACAACCAGCGAAAACAACCACGATACCGTAAGCATAAAATATTGAAAATAATCCTTAAGGTTTTTTGTGAAATAGACACACACATTTAAATGAGGTAAATCTACTGTAAAATAACGTATATTTTGTCAAGTAATACTTTAGCTATATTAGAAATAAATATCAAACGGCAATCTTTACACTGTTAATGTGTTGTTAAGCTTTAATGCATAATCCCATGCGCATTACTTGTGTTTTGACTGTTTGTGAACAGCTTGGTGCAACTGTCTTTCTTGAATAGATGGGTAAATCTTAGTTAAAATGTCGAAAAGGAGTTAGAAAAGTTAGCTTACCCCTACGACTTAAGTCGACTGGAAATATATTATAAGTAGGTAATTGTTTTGAGTTTTTTGGTAGGATTGATTCTGGGTGTCTTATAAAGTATTATGATATTCTGATAAATCTACTGAGAACTTATGAGGAAAATATCTTGAACTAGGAGAGCAAAAGAACGAAATTCAGAAATTCTATAATCATGTTGCTGATTCTGTTTTAAGCCAAGATATTAGAAACTGGATTGTTATTGACAACCATGGATCTACTACTGAACAGAACTACATTAATTTCCCATTGAAAATACTATTTCTTAAATCAAGTGCATTGGTTTCTCTGACATAACACTTTTCTTATTGCTGCATGAAGGCAAACCTGTTTAAATAATTATAATGTAGGTGAAGATATTTAGCATGTTGTATAATTGTTATTATACAGACATTATTTATAATATTATGGCCTTGTGTAATGTATGTCAAGAACTTATTAATTCTCAAAAATGCTAACCTTGCACTACTTTTCTTTTGTGTCCTTACAAATTACAGTTACCTATACTAATTTTTCTAGGTTCAAACAACTTGACAAATTTTTGAATTTTACATTATGCCTTTGAATTTTTCTTTTTGTCTTTTGGTAAAAATATCAGTGAATGACTTAAAAATCAAGTTTATCTAAAATAGTATTTTGTACAAAGTAACTATACATAATTGGAAAAGTTTCATGTTGAAGGCAGATGTGGCTTCTTTTACTAGATTGCTACTCTTATTCTTTTAAATGATATCGTAATTCTTCAAAAGACATAAAAAGTTCTTTGCCATCAATTTTTGCTTCTTCCACATTCAACTTCATTGCAACCAATGCATCTTATGTGAATTTTTAATCACCTGGAATTGAAAAATGTATGGATTTTGTCAGATGATGCAGTACTGTATTTAATGTTTCATGCATGTCATGATAAGCTTTTCTTGAGCAAATATTTCAAGGTAGGAGCAAAATTTGGCACATTATTGAACAAAGTAGTTTTTATCTTGATTTTGATGTACTAACCTGTTTAGTACACTGTGTAACAAACAATTCATTTACAGAAACACCATATGGCATTTATAAAACTTTTAGCATAAAGCAAACCTTTACACACCATCATCATGCTTGTCCAAATCTGTCAAATTGTCCAGGCTAGCTGTTTAATACAGGTATTTTTATTGTACGACATGTACCAAAGAGCTCATTAATTAATCCTGCACTGCATTTGATTTCAATACAGCTCTGTCCTTAATATTTGCTTCATATTTTCAGAAAAATATCATGAAAAAATCCTCCATTTCAACTCAGTTGAAACAAGGAGTTTTAAGATATGCATATCTCGATAAGAACTGGTTGCTTTGCCTCGTCTAGCAATCGATTAAGTAAAGAACAAATAAGACTGGATAAAAATAACTTAAATTACAACTTAGGAGTAAAAACATTCACAAAATATATGCCATCACACTTCAAGTATTGACTTAAAACAAAACACTGAACACTTTAAATAGTAAACAATCTTACGTTGCTTACCGGTGTCATGAAATGTTTCCTTTTCTGGCATTACTTCAGCATCCGTATACCAAACAAGTTTGCAGCATGTTTTAAAGATAAAATTTCTAAAAGTTTTTGTGCTTGGCATTGATATTTTCTATAATCGCAATTGTGGTTGTCAAATCCGGGTGGGCGAAAAAAATTTCATTTTATGAGCCCGCGTCTTTCCGCTGACTTTGACAACCAAAATCCGCCATGTTTTTGACCACGCGGCCGCGCGCTAATAATTTATACTAATTTTGTTGACGTTTCCCCTCCAGGTCTTATAGAACTCAATGGTATTATCGTGCAGAATAGCTCTCTGTTAAGTCTGGCACTAGAACACAAAATATAAATAACATGAAGTTTCCAGGAAAAAATGGCGGATTCCGAAATTGTAATGAGCTACAAATTTTAATGTAATAAAGGAATAAAACTGCAGCTTTTTGGAGATGACAAGAAGTAAAACTGCGTTAAGCATGTAAAAGTCGTTCTGTCTTGAATTTTTCATGACCTTTCTGGAGGTGTCCAACGGGAATGAAAGAAAATCGGTCACAGATCACGGATTATAGGTCAGTTTGGCACACTCTACGACTTAATGGCATACAAGTACCTAGAGTAGCTGTTCAGGAGATTTTGCGTGAAATATGTCCCGAAAGAACTGAACGAAGACGAGCACATCGCTTGAAAAGAAGGGACTACCGAAATCTAGGCCCAAATTATGCTTGGCATTGTGACGGCTATGATAAAATGAAGCCTTTCGGATTTCCAATACATGGTTGCATTGATGGGTGGAGTAGAAAGATACTCTAGCTAAAAGTAACTAGATCCAACAACCACCCAGGTGATATAGCCAGTTTTTACTTAGATGCTGTCGAACATTTTGGTGGATGTCCTGTTGATCTGGTAACAGATTTAGGCACTGAAAATGGAATAATGGCAGCCATTCAATCATTTTTCCGGGATGATGCTGACAGCCATCGTTATGTGCCGTCTCCTAGAAATGAAAGAATCAAGTCATGGTGGGGACTATTCAGAAAGTCATGCTCATCTTGGTGGATAAACTATTTTAAAGATCTAGTGGATCAAAGGGTAGTTGATCTCTCATCAGAGTTAGATATGGAGTGTCTTTGGTTTTGCTTTTCGGATGTGATACAAAGTGAAAGAGCAATGGAACACCCATTATATCAGAAAATCACGTCATGATACTGTAATAGGCAGACCTGACTCATTGTATTATTTACCTGAGCAATGTGATGGTGGCAATCACTTTTTACTGTCAGTTACTTCTACCGAAATTCATTATGCTCGATCACACATAGTGGAAAGTGAAAAAGAAAACATATTCCAAGAATATTTCAACTACGTGTTACAATCTTGTGATCACGACAACCCAAGAGATTGGAAACAGGCAACTGAGCTTTACAATACTCTTCAGTACTATGCAAAGTAAATATACTTGCCAACATTCAATTTCAACAGACTGCATGTAGCTATAGGCAGGGACAAAGCTAGAAGGTTAAGTGGGGTGGGGTGAATATTCAAATATTCAACTCCGCCCTGCTGATTTGTTTTGAAATTATAATCACTAACAAAGCAAATCAGCAAAGCTGAGCTAAATATATGAATATTCACCCCCCTCCCCAGTTAACGTTCTACTTTAGCCACTGGCCATAAGACAAATTAATCTAATATATTTTGTTTATACAAAAAATGTAGGTAGTATCTTCTGTAGGTAGCAATCACATTTATCTGCTAACATAAAAATTGACAAAGTGTATAGTAAATGTTTCCTCACTAACAAGCGTTTAGTAAGTACATAATTTTGAAAGAAGTAAAATCAAAAGGTGCTATTGGGGTGAATCAAACAAAAAAGTAACCATTCTATAATAATCAATTACTGATAAGGTGATACTGATTTAGAATGACAAGTTTCATTTTTTCCCAAAACTCTGACCCTTACAGTAGGCAATCATGAAAACGTGCTTGAAATCTTCACTTGTTTTCATATGCTCAACTGGTAATGTAATGTCTCTGCCACATGATCCTAAATGATGAGAAACAGATTTTATGCATGGTATTACATGACATACAATCATGATCAAAATGAACTCAGATTCTTAACTTTTCTCCATTAATAGGTGCATGTTTTTGTCGGTGAGCCACCCCAAAACTCCTGATGGTGTTAGATCTGCAGACGGGAAGTCATCCTTTCCATGTTGTCGTGCATGTTACCACGACCATCTTCTCTATCACTCCATGTCAGATCTTGTACATAGCCTGTTACATTCTGGTCTTCCATACTCATTAGCACATCTTGAAAGAAGTCAATCATTTCCTCTTCAATCACACGCCGCGAGCTTCCTTTTAATTTTTTGTGGAAATATTTCATTAATCAATCATTGCGAAAAAGCCGCCCGCATGGCTCCCAATCTGTCGTTCAAAACTTTCATGCTGACTACGCCACTAGTGACATATTTTTCAATTATATTGTTTGAAAAATTAGATATAACTTACCTATTCCATACTGTGTGCAAAATTTGGCATTGCTTTTGTGCTCTGTGCCACACATACAACAAAATCTCGCACTTTCAAAAGAACTTTCGCCTTCGTTTTCCGCCATATTTTATTTATGTTTCCATAATTTCGTAAAAGCACTATTGCAATACACATTTAATATAAATGACAACTTCTATTTTCAAAAAAGTTGTCGATTATATTATTTATGTTTATCAGTCCCAGTCTCTTCGAATACTGCTCTTGTGCCGTGAGATTTTTGTTGTGCCGTGAGAAGTTTAGTGTGTGCCGTGAGATTTTGTTTGTGCCGTGACACCTGTGGGCCACCGTAAAACTGGGACTTGGCAGACTCTAGCATACAGGTTTTATTGCATTAAAAAAGACATCATCATTAGGTATACGCATAACACGTAACGATTTAAAGTAACATATCCAAACAAAATACATTCGTTTGTTGCTTTCATTTTGGGCTTCCATCAATACAATTATGTAGTAATTCACAATCTTTCTGAAACCTACCTGTTACACTGCAGATCTTGGACTCTGTACTACCAACACAGTTTGAAGCAACAACACGAAACTCATAATCTTTGCTATTGCTCAAGGTCTCATTCGTTGACGGACTGTACATTGTATCAGAAGAGGTAAGAATATCGAACCAGATACCAGAAACCTCTTTTGCTTGCAAAGTGTATTTTACACTGGTCTTGGATATCGAAGGTAACCATGTGAGTTTATCAAACGCACATTGTGAGAAGACAGGCTCCCCAGGTTTATCTATTGAAATACAGATGGACAACAAGTTTACATAATAACAACTCCTTTCTAGTTCTCTTGCTAAAGAAGTTGGCAAGTTATGTAGGCGTACGTAAAAATCAAATACCTTCCGCGAGGGAAACAGAGATATTTCGCTTATCACTTCCTAGTGTATTATTGGCCTCACAAATATACACTCCAAATCTCTGAAGAATAAATTCATTATTCAGACTTTCTTTATTAGGACCAGTAATACGTATTTTAGGCTTCGGATTTCCAGAGGCTTCACAGCCAAGTGAAATAGATGTTTTTAAACAGCCAAACTGCTCTGTCGTCACCGACTTTGCAATTTCTGGAGGATCTATAAATGTAATTATCATAATTCAAACTTTATATGCAACATAGAAATAGCAAAAACCACAAACACCTTACTTACATTTGACACTTAACTGCAAAACTTTTCGTGATACATAACCATTTGTTGTTTTAACTTCACAAATATACTCCCCACTATCCTCCTTTGTAATGTTCTTAAAATTGTAAAAGACGGTCATGCTACTTGTAGCACTTGTCATACTAGAATTCAGTACATTAGTTCCTTTCAATAATTCAATATTTGAAGATGGTTTTCCAACTGTAGCAGTACAGCTAAGCGTTACTTCCGTCCCTTGCACCACATCATTTTGCGCGACATTGATAACTCGAAAGTCGGTTACGTTCGATAGAACTAAGAAAAAAAAAATGAAAACATATTTAGGCAAGATAAAGATATAGGTGAAGCCCAACATTTCGTGGCCCATCTAAAATGTTATTGTTTGTAAACAACCGTAAACCTCCACCTGTAAGTTTAAGCACTTTTTTTATCGGCTTATATTTACAGATACATTGCCCATTGACGAATGAAAACAAAATTATTCCAAAATATAAACTATATCTTTCCTTAACTTTTCACAAATTTTAAAATATCATCAAAAAACAAAATGTTATAAACACCAAAAGCGTAATATGCATTGATTGTGATCGAGCCAAACCTCGGAGTTTGAATAAGAATCCATACATATTAGACTCAAACAAACAACATGATTCTACAAATCTTTATCAAGTTTAAATAGAAAAATTTATGACTTGATCATGAAAATAAACAAATAAGAAGGGATAATTTGATGGTTTTGAATTTTACCTATTGCTATGATCGTAACTTTATGGGCTATTGATAAAGCTCCTTGAATTGAACATTCAAAATCTCCTTCATCTTGCTTAGTAAAATCTCTTATAGACAATGTTGCATCTTTACTTCCGGTTCTTATGACGTCTCCAATAAAATTGACTCTACCAGAAAACTGATTTCGTGGAATTGGATCGTTCAAGGGAAGACCCTTATCAGTAAGACGGTATATTACAATTTCAGGATTTGTGCCCATATATTTCCATGTTGTAATAAATGAACCGCCATTGTAAGTAAAAATCCATGGAATAGTGATATTAGTAAACTGCCTTCTGTAAAATTCTGTACCAGATTCGAATTGCTGACCAGAGACTAAAAACAAAAAATAAGGAGAAAAAAATTATTCCAGGAGAATCGACAAAAATTCACCTAAGTAAACGTGCTTTTTAATGTTGTATCTAATTCAAGCAAGTTTTCCCCACATTGGTATTGAACAAGGAATGTATCGTAAGCCCCAGGAAAGATGTGTTGTGACGTTTGCGAGATGCAACCACCACTGGGCAGCCACTTGTAAAAAGCACCATATTTTGCATGAGACAGAAACTTTTCGTTTGAGTTTTTGACTTTCATGTTACAATCCCGTCAACTAATTTCATAATTCCTGCGTACAAGTGATCAATTTTAGTACAAAATACAGCCTTCCTTCCACTTTAACGGTTCCAGGAGCGAAAGAAATACGAATTCAACATGTTTGATTTTTGTTACGATATTTATTATTTTTTAACAAATATAAACCTACGCTTTAAAATTTTTTTATCAAAAATGGGGAAGAATTTTTCGGTTCTGAACTGAGAACAAAATTATGACCATCATCCCTAACATTTCCTTAAGATTCTTGAAATACTTAATTACGTAAAAGAAACAGAGTAGTTCAAAAAGTTCTCCAAAGTCTTATGAAAGTTTGTGTAGCAAAAAAAACTTTAAATTCGTTTACATCCTGTTTTAAACGATAGCAAGAATATAAATTTTACCAAAACAGGCCTGTTGCATGCTGAGATGGATAGCAGATTAGAAAGATCAAATTTTAAGCCAATACTTTTCCACTTCAACATAATTAGCTCAGATCGAGCAATAAACTGAACGAAGACCATTTTCTACACAACTCATTTGAAGAAGCCTGCTGAGTTTGCCGACAACAAGCGGGTGTGCATCAGAGTAAATGCATCGTTCATGTTGAAAAACTCAAAACATTAAAACAAATGCATCGGATACTTTTGATTTTTGATTAGACGCACGAAATGTCGACAAAACAATTGTCACAGTGAATATCAAACATTGTATTAGAAAAACATGTGATAAAACAAGGCTTATTTCAGCATCTCTTAAAAACCAGTCAAACGCTCATTTCGATCATTGAGCATCTTGTACGAACAGCCCAATATATTTGCAAAGTGGCGGTATTACATTAATTATTGCATTCCTTGTTCAAATTTCTTTAAAAATTGGTAAAAATCGGATATAAATATGATGCTGGTTCAAAATTTACCATCTCAACATAATGCTCGTTCATACTCATAACAACGATAATTTTGCTATCACTAACTCCGAGATTTACGAATGCTCAACGCATAATACAAATGAAACTCGCTTGTTAAATGTTCACTTGTTGATAGTGGATGCACTAATTTGGTAGATGTTCAGGCTTGTCTTGAACAAGATGTCCATCATTCAAACGATAAAACAATCATTAAGAATATAAACAATCCAAGCTATACACGATAGCAACAAGTCGTCCGAACACGCGTAGTTTGCATGAATTAGTTGTTATAAGATGCTTTCGGTGTTTTTATAAGTAGTATGAATTGTATCCACTATAACTCTGTAGTTTTCCTCGAAACGTTATCTTCGGGAAGGCGGGGGAAACTCATAAAGCTGTCTACTCTACCCTTTTAAAAACAAAAGCTGTTAAAGACGGCAAAGGAAGTGTTCAATTTTACATATAAACGCGTTGCCACACGCATAACAAAATGAAATACATTGTGAGCAATATATTGAATGAGGCCAGTGGGGGCTTTGTTGTAGAAATCGTAAGATACTTATATTAAAAAACATTTTTACGTTACCAGGGCAAAATGATTCAAGTATAAAGACACAGTTTTCTAAATGCTTGAGAAGAAGTATTCGCTCGTACATTCAAGGACTCAGTACGACTTTATATGTGTAACGTGACAAACTTATAGTGAACACGATGTGATGTATAAACACAAATATGAAAGAGAAGAATTAACAAGACTAACCTAAATATACCCAAAGAATAACATATAATGACGACGAAATGTATTATACCATGTATAAAGTACTTGCCCAATAATATCTTAAGTACGTTAAAGAGAAGATACACAATATTGGCAATCGATACCTGAATCAACAAAAACGACAAGAGAAAACAGCACAACGGATGAAATCATTGCTTTCGCAGAAAAAGAAACAGAACAAGAACAAATACAGTAATATTTCCAATAGTCCAACAATATTAATGCACAAAGGTGTATAAAGTTGTGACGTCGTCACTCGTAAACATTAATACATTTGAATAAAATTATGCACATGATGTAAAAGTCCAAAATAGTTGCTATACGACAGCATCCGCTGTATAATGACAAAAAAATGATTTTGAAATATTTACACACTGCGTCTCGCATTATCATACATCAGACGTTTGTTTTTTATTAAATAAACGATACTGATGTAAGTTGATGCTTTTCATCCTGTTCTTTAGATCAAACCAATTATTTTACTCTACGTATAATACCATAATAATAATGAATGAAAAACTGAAACTTGAAATTTTGTGTCTACTTAGAATGTCATACTTTAACATATACTTACATACACCACAATACGTCACTTAAAAAGGATCTTGGGAAAGTTGTGGAAAAAAGTACAAAGAGAAGATTCTGAAAAAGAACTCAGAATCTTCTCATCCTTTGACGGAAGACCTCACCCGTGAAAAAATTATGTGAAGACATAAATAATCAGCGTCCTTCATTTCATATTCATTGTTAAATAAAAACTTTTTGTTAAATAAATACTTGTTGAACTGTCATATGTAACTTTTTATTAGTTATACAATGTAGTATATGGTGAAAATGGATGTTATGTATACATGGGTAATAGCCGTCCAACGTACGTACGCTGGATAATAAATGCGTTGAAAAAAACTTTTTGTTAAATAAGAGCATCTTTTATTTTAATTGTAGACAAAATTGAAGTATAATTGTTTCCTGTACAAGAATTCATTAGTTTTTGATAAAGTAATAGAACTTAGCTAAAAAAGAAAATCTTATTCAGTAAACCTAAACTATAAAAACAGCGCTAGTTCATCGTCAATAGTGTATATTTAGACGACATTGAGTCATAAGAGTATCCACTACAAGATCCACTACAGCTTTCAGGTACTTCGGTAGATAACAAGGTTAGTCACTTTCAGAGTCTGCACCGTCTTGAACTCCACTCGCACAATTATAAATTTTTTCAGCGTTATTTCGGAGACAACGCTCAGTTTTTCGTATACAATATATGCAGGCCTATATAAAATATCATAGTTTCACTGTCACATAGCTTTCACAACAAAAAAACGTCTTGGAATTTGGCGTTAGATGAACAACAAACCTCAGGGAATAAAACGTTATACATGTAGTTGATGTTCATTGAATTTGTTTCATCAAAGGATCGAAAATATCTGTGACTATTTCTTTGACTACATTCAACAGATCGTTTGCCTATATATACAAAAATGACGAGTTAAGACACTAGTGGGGCTCCATTTCTAACAGAGAATGTGTTTTTATACTTCAGTTCGAGTTAAAGGACACGTCATGTAGAGATCGGTGAGTTCAGTCTGAGCTTGATTTCGCCCACAGATCATTTGCTTAAATAACCTGTGGCGTTTACTGGGTATCGCACCGTTGACGATTTTTTTTAAATATGCCTAAAATTCAATGTTAAAATATTATAGCTATGTTTATCTGCAACTGATATTAAATAATTTAAATTCTAAGAGAACCTTTAATCCTCTGAATGAGCGATTTCCCTTTATATTTATGTCAAATGTTTTCGCAGATCTGTCAAGGAAAAGATAAAAGAAATAAATATATTTATTCGTGCGTGTTCAAGAAACTCACATTTTAGAAATAAAACATTTAAGAGCACGAGGAACGTATTAATAACTATTATGAATACGTATGCAAATAAATCGGTGATGCGCAAAAATGAACAGAATAACAGTTCGTAGTTTAGAAAAAGTGGATGTATAATTTACCCATGAGTAAAGTAAGATACATTGCATCCGCAATCAAATTTTCCTTTCGGCTTCGTCGTAATGCCAACGCAATCCCAATGGTACCATTGTTGACAAACATCACACAACACCCAATCCACCATTCCATTATCTTTGGAAGATGGTTCTTGACAAAGAAAGGCTTTACATTTGTCATAGGATGTCAAATGACTAGCTCTTTCCTTTGCACAAGACACACTTTCTCTGTCACTGGACTTTGCCTCTTTTCTTTTTCTTTTGTTGTTACTTCTTCCCTTCCTGTGTTCTTTATCAACTTTTTTAGGCACGGCGTTTTCTGTTACAAGGTGTCCGTCACCTTCATTAACTGTTCCGTCTCGTCCACAAAATACATTCCCAGAATTACCATCATCATCGCCACCATTATTACAACATCTTCTCTATCACCGGGAACATCACCATTTTCAGAACCATTCTTAACATTATCAGTTCTTTGTCCATGGCCAACATCATATTCGTCGGAAACGTTGTTAACAAGTTCGCCATGACTATTATCATCATTCTCACCACTAACTTCAACAACTTCTTGGATGTGGCCGCCATTGTCTTGCTCTTTGTCACATTCCTCAACATTTTCTGCATGAAGAACATTATTTCTTTCCACTATCTCCCTTTCCACAAACGTAAGCTCATTTGATTTTTCAATAAATAAATCCAATGCTGCTTCTCCCATAGTCGATGGATCCCGTAATGATGCGTGTTCTGGAATTCCGCATACTACATATTTGAAATCCCCTTTCAAAAGAGAAGTGTATGGCACTTTTGCTTTGTCCATTCCAGTTGCTTCACCTAGAATGTTTTTTTTGAAACTAGTATAAGCTATTGTTACTGAAATTGCTGCAGGATTGTGTTCAACCTCTTTTACTAATCATTGCTTCAAATATTACAAAATTTCGTGCAGAAGTAATTGTACTTATTTCAAGAAATATTGACCAAGAACAACCTTTTCATATTCCATCTAAAAAGTTTTACAATTAGTTACATGTTCATACTTACAGTATTTCTGATTTAAAATATCACGCAAAGATTTCCTCTTCTGTTTCAATCTTGCCATGCGATTATCGGTAACAGTTTCAACGTTGTCGTTTGACTCAATTGCTACAACCAAAAAGTTTGTATTAGATTAAAATATTAAATAAGAAACAAAAATCACAAGTTTTCGGTTGTCCTGAGAAGAAAAATGTATTTCCTCGCGGGCATGATGTAAAGTAAGGACAAACAAACCTCCAGAGCTGTTTACAAAAGCATAAAATGAGCGGGGATGCTCTTTCTTTTGCAGTATTGTAAGGCAGACTTTGAGCCATGCACTTCAACACCAGATTCCACGGCAGCCACGAAAAATTAATCAATGTTCATTCCTTTCAAAGCATCCAACTAAACAATGGCACCGATAGCATTAATAAAAATTGGAACTGATCACAAAAATAATTTTGTGCATTTATTTTGACCCAATCAACATACCTTCTTCAAAATTTTTTCAACTCCCGTTTCTTGCGCGTTTCGTGGTCTAAAACAGAGCAATCTGTCTTTGCCCTATTTATATAGCCTTCTCGTTGGCTTTTATCCAGGCAGCGCCATCGTTGTCCCAATTCAACATTTCTAGCGTGAAATGACAAAGACTTTAAGGAGTCTAAAAAAAGAATAAAAATGTGCATAATGTTAATAGAGACAACTTTGTGTACGTAGCTATTCTCAACATCGTTAGAAGCTTCTTCTTTACAAAATAATTGGTATCCATTCATTCCACTAAAAAAGTAAATGAATTTTATTTTTATTTGAAAATTTTGTAAAACTTGCAGTCTTTTGAAATGATTTCCTTTGGCTGACTATTGATGGACAATTCTACCGTTTTGAAAAGCTGAAAAGTGAGTGAAGAGTCAAGAAAATTTTTAATTCGTTATTGCAACCATGTGGAGCTATCTTTTTCTTGAGTATTGAAATACTCAGGGAAAGCCCCGCATAATTTCCCGCGATTTAGGGAAAATCCGTATGCGAACAAACCACAATATTTACAACATTACTACGGTTTGTAGGTCTAAATTTAGCACAAATTATAGCACAGAGATATGCATGCTCACCATAAGGTGAGATTAACGAGCAGATATGGAAAAAGTTATAAAACAGCGATGTAGACAAATAAGGAGCTTTATAAAATAGATTTATATAGAAGTAGAATACATCTTAGAATGAAAATGAACTTGTTGATAAATTATCACAATGGATAGCATTATTTTACCTTGACATGATTCCTATCCTGCTTAAAATGAACCAGAAGAGTCTATTTGGTGTGCAATATAGTCTAGTTTGTTTGAAACAACGCGAAGAGAAAAGATAAGGTTATGTTTATTAATCACCAGACCCCTGTCGAAGGCCGTGCTCGGTAACCATCAAAGGAGCCTGGCGCGAACGTACAGCGTACGTGTACTTTGACGGCTATCAGCCAGTACTTTTTAGCACTAAAATACGGCTAATAGCCATATGCCTAAAGCCTGTTTTATATTCATAGCCACGTATCGTAACGTATCGTAGCAAAACGTAACGTATCGTAGCAAGTACAGATACGTTGAACGTTTTCCATTATTCGGCACAACGCGTAGTACTATTTTCCCGCCAAAGTTCAAAAACAATACAAATATTATTGTTATGGGTACTCTCAGCAAAAAAACTCGCTTGCTTTTACTTTTAAGTAGACGAATGAAGAAAGATAAATACAAAAAATCATATTGGATTCGAAAGCTTTATCAAGAAAGAAAAACTAAAGTATAATTTTATCTTTTGGTGCAGGATTTACGTTTTTGTTCGATGATGAATTATTTTTCAGGTATTTTCGAATGAACGCTTCCAAATTTGAGGAATTATTACTTATGGTCGCCCCCAAAATAAAAAAAACTGCGTGTCTAGAGATTGCATTGGACCAACTGAGATGCTTTGCGTGACGATGAGATATTTAGCAACCGGAGACTGTCAAACAACCATAGCTATGAACTATCGAATGAGTCCAACAACAGTGGGAAGAATCATTTTTAAAACTTGCAGAGCACTGTGGATTGTTCTTGCAAAATTTTTAAAGCCACCTACAACTGAGTCCGAATGGATTAAATTGGCTGAAGAATTTGAAATAAAATGGAACTTTCCCCACTGCCTTGGAGCGTTGGACGGAAAGCATGTTGTCATGCAGGCCCCTGCAAATTCCGGTTCAATGTTTTTTAACTACAAAAAAAATAAATCATTCAATTGTGTTGATGGCCATTTGCAACGCCAACTACGAATTCACTCTGGTCGACATAGGTGACGCTGGAAGAAATAGCGATGGTGGTATATTGTCTTACAGCAAAATTGGAGAAGCTGTGAAAAACAACAGTTTGAATTTTCCATGTGAAAAATCATTGCCTGGTTTCCAGGAAGAATGCCCTTATGTTATGGTAGCAGATGAGGCTTTTCAACTGCAACATCACATAATGAAACCCTACCCAAGAGAAGTTCTAGGTATTGCAGAAAGAGTGTTCAATTACAGGTTGTCACGAGCAAGACGGACAATAGAAAATGCCTTTGGGATCCTAGCTGCACGCATGCGCCGTGGATTTTTCAGGATTTTTCGACGTGCAACACATGCTAGAGTTGAAATGGTTGTCAGGATAACCCAAGCTGCAGTGGTCCTTCATAATTATCTCATGAGGGAAGGTGCATGCTCTCATGGAGAGAGTTATTTTCGCATGGAACTAATTGACAAAAATACAAAACATGGCACACAACCAGGGCGGTGGAGAGAAATAACGCAAGGCGACAAAGGCTTGCAATCAATTAATAGAGATGGATCAAACAACTACTCTCGTAATGCCAAAAAAGTTAGAGAAGCTTTCAAAAACTATTTTATGTCAAACGAGGGGCAAGTTATATGGCAGTGGGAATCTGTTCATGCCACTGAAAATTGTTTTGACAAAAATAACTAATAAGGCAGACTTATTATTAAACATGTTCGAACAAATCAATATATTATAAGACAGAAACAAAAACTTAAAATAACTTGTTACAACAAACTTTAAATAAAAAAGCAAATTGAATGTTCTGTAATACATTTGTCAGTGATGCTAATGAATTTCATTCATCTTCTTCTAACTCAAATAGAACCTGTAGCACCTTTATCTTAGCCATTTGTTTAGTTTTTGCCTTCATCCCTTTGAAACTAGACACTAAGCTTAAGAAAAATAGTGTATCCTCATCTTGTTGATTGTTTGTCTCACAACTACCAGTTTTACTAACATTGGATAAATCATTAGCAAGACTGATGGCTAAGAGGTCATCAATTTGGTCTGATCTTCGCTTGCGTGCTTTCTGACTGGTTTTGGGTTCAAAAACCTGGTCACTTGATTGATTATCCAAAGACAAACTACTTGATACAGAAACCTTCACAGGATCAATGATTTCATATTCAACATTGCTTTCAGTTTTCCGCCCACTTACTACATCCCTTAAGAATGATGGCTCCACAAAATAATCACAGGTGGGCAATTTTTTTGTAGAGCCACTTCCAGAACGAGTTAATTGCTCTCTTTTGCGAATGCATCGACGATAGTTATCTTTCAGTCTGTCAAATTCTTTGTTCAATGCCCTTTCTACATTGAAAGTAAAATATTCATAAATAAACTGCTCACAAATTTTACTGTTTCAAATTTAATGTTATACTATAACCTATACACATGTAGATTGTAGAGTACCTATGTTTGTAAATTTTACAGCCAAATACAATTTTGAATACAATATTAACTAGTTAATTAACAAATATAATATCAATAGTTGTTGTAAACAATATGATTGCTGTTTAAAGTAGTAGCAAGAACATTAATGCACAGGCAGTCAAATAGAACTGCTCAATTTTTATCAAGGTTATGCAAAGCTGTATTTAAAACAAAAGGAGGATCCACTATTTATTAGATGTACGATTCTTTTTTATTGAGTGACTGATATGATTATATGTAATGTTTTGGCACTTCTTCCAAATGTTAACCTATTAATATATTACATGTAGGTGAGCAGTTATTTTAATTGCCAGTGTAGTTTATAATATTTACTTCAACAAAAGAACTACTGAATATAATAAGAACTGTGCGACAAGAAAAGTTCATTATCGGGTTTATTGCCTTATGGCATTATCATGTATAAGCTCGTTCGTGAATAACTTACCAGGTGCATTCAATGCTGTAGAAATCCTACGCCAGGCTTCAATTTTTTTTGGTCTTTTTTGTGACTTTTTAAAGAAGCATTCCATATGCAAGGATATTTACGTATTTCCTCAATTAAATTTGACAGAAACGAAGCATCTTGCAAATTGATATCTGATTTATTTAATGAATCCTCTGTCCCTTCTTGAAATAACTCGATGCACGGCTCCTCGAGCGACGCCATTTTGAAAGCATGAATTTTGTTTTGTCGTGAAATGAACGACTATGATTGGTTGAATATATCCGTATTACAGATTCGTACGAAAAAAGTTGACAATACGCGAACTTGTTTTTTAATACGCGTATTAAAATTGTGATACGCCTATTAGCCATCAAATACACTAGCACGCATGCGCCGTGTTACGTTTTGCTACGATACGTTACGATACGTGGCTTGTGGAAAACAGGCTTAAGACGAAGTGGGTGCTTCACAATAGCAATAAGTCAATAACCCAACGATGTTTTGTCCACATTGTGGAAAAGAAAAGGATGAAAATGCAAATTTTTGCGAGAACTGTGGTGCAAGTGTATCAGAAATTAAACCTTCGGCCTTTAGTCAACAACCGTTAACTTTCGAAGAGTACATAAAGAAGAACGCAGTCGCCAATCCTTGCACTGATCGTGGCTATCAACTAGAAAATTCCCACCGCGCTGGTAGTTCGTCTACCTTTCAATCTATTAGAAAAAGGAAGTCAAATGATCGATTAAGTCAAATAAAAAAAAAGGAAAGAAAGATGAAGTAGTGAAGGTATGTGTATTCAATGGTATGATTATGCCAATTATACAAATTTGGTTAATGAAACTCAATTTTGTGTTGTAAAGATTGGAATAATTGAACTCGACGGTAAAAGACTTAAAATAAGAAGATCTTCTTTACTTCCTGTTGATGTTCGAAAATCAGATACATTAGTTCCTGTAAAGAATGCCGGAGTTCAGAAACAGCTTGCCCACAACAGACATCTCAGAGATTATAATGAAACTGAGTGGCTTTTACTTTACCCTGATATGGATATCGTGGGAAATATTCCAGGAAGCAGTGAAAAATTCTCTGTGGAAAAATATAAAAATGAACTTGGACGTCCATACAGTCGAGTACAAATTCGTAGAATGTTGCATATGAATGTTGATGGAGTCCGCAAACGAGGTAGACCGAGAAAGAGATGGATGGATGCTGTGAACAGTGATATGAAGGCGATGGGTATAACGAGAGATATGGCGAGAGATAGAGACGTTTGGCATGGAAAAATTCATGGACCGGTCAACCTCCCTGGCGGGGATTAATACTGGCCGGTATACAGATGTTGTTTGTTTGTTTGTTTGTACGTCCATACAGTCGAGTAAATTTGTACATTTGCAAAATGCTTGATTTTGAAGGTAAACACTGAGTTCAAAATAATTCCAGGTATTTTTTTTGCATTTAGACTGCTGGAGTGAGCATTAGGGGCATTGCACAAGACAAACACTGGCTGTATTGAAAACTGATATGTCATGCAATAAATAATCAAAAAGCAGTCACATTTTATTGAAGCAACATTTCTGAGCTTCCCAGAGTTGATTGGGCCCATTGACTGTATTTTACTGGTGAATAAAGGTTCACTACTGGGGCAAGCACAGAGCAAAATGCTAAAATGCCCTAGTACATAAAAGTTAAAAATGCCTTAGAATAATTATCTTGCAACTAACATTAAACCTTCAAAAGAATTTGTTTGTAGGGTTAGTAATTATGTTATATTCTAAATTTAGTTGCCAATGATTTGACTGAAGACCTCGAGGAAACGGTTGTTCCAGATACTGCTGATGTTTTTGAAGATAATTCTGTTCAAGAAAATTCTTCACAAACTATATGTGAACTGGGAAATTCTCAACAAGTCAATGCCACACCAGATAATTTTGTGGAAGTTAATCATGCTCATACCAATGCTGTTCCAGCTAGTCTTGCAAAAGCTAGTCTAGTGGAGGCCAGCCATGTTCAAACAAATCCTGTTCCAAGCAATGTTGTTAATGTTGATAATAGTTGTGTGGAAGCTGTTTCCTTCAGGTTGATTCATTTTCAGTTGAGCAAATCATTATGGAACCAGGTGAAATGCCTGCTCAAATTTTTCAGGATGCAGGTATAACTAATGATTTGTTACATATGTATCCTATACATTTTGTATATTTCATTGTTTTTGTATTTTAAATTTATTTTTTAGATGTAACTGAATCCCTACTAGATAATATTGAACCAGAGCCAAATCTTGTACAACCAGCTCAAGTTAATTTACCCGAGGAACAATTGCATGTGCTAGATCTGCTAATCCATCGACAACCCTTTGAAAGACATGATAACAGAATTTTATAATCCAAATGTATTGAAATCTACTATATTTTTTAAAGTAGTTGATGCAAGAGGTATGTTTGAGGAGGGAGAAGGAAGAGGTGTTGCACATGATCTTCTTACAGAGTTTTGGCACCTTTTTTATCAGTCATTATCTATTGGAGCATCTACCAAGGTGCCAGCCATTCGTCATGATTATCAAAAGCTGGAATGGGAGGCAGTGGCTAGAATCATGTTGTATGGCTATTGCAAAGGAGTGTTCCCCATTACATTGTGCTCAGCTTTTGTTGCATGTACTCTCCATGGTGAAGACAGTGTTTCTTGTGAAGTGCTGTTAAACTCTTTCATGGAGTATATGGCTGAAGACGAGAGAGAAGTGGTTGATAACTTAATGAAAAATCGATCACAGATATGTAAAAATGAAGACTTACTTGAAGTTTTAGAAAGCTACAAGTGCTATCTCAATCCCACAGAAGAAAATATTGAAGATATATTATGCCAATTAGCTCACCAAGAACTTATCCAAAGACCGCGGTACGTTTCCAATTGTTGGGCAACAATATTGCAATCATTGAAAAGTCATCCTGCGTTTCAAGATGTTGCAAGCATTCTTTGCTTTTACCAAGAAAGAAAACCCACGTCCAAAAAGGTTTTGAAAATTCTAGATGCCTCCCCCGAAAATGAGGCACAACGAAATGCATTTGATCATTTGGTGCGCTATATAAAGTCTCTAGGTGGCAACGTAACCGCGTTCCTTCAATTTACCACAGGTTCTGATATCATTTTAGAAGGTCAAAAGTTAAAAGTGTCATTTACAGAACTTAATGGTTTACAACGTCGTCCTGTAGCACACACATGTGGACCATTGCTAGAGATTCCCAGCACTTATCAATTTTATAATGAACTTGTAGAGGAGTTTTCGTCGATCCTAAGAGAAAAAAGTGCCTGGTCGTTTGACATTGTATGAAAGTTCTATCACATGTTTTAGCACACTATTATGACACATTATATTGTGTTTTACATTGTAGAAACACTTTTTTTAGTTCACTTTTGTTTAAAAAGATTTTATGGACAATGATGTGGTGTCATATGAAGATGGAGGTTATGGACCTTCCCTGAATATGAAATTATCTTATTTCTTTATAAGATTACCATATACGTTATCGTTTTGAGTTATTAATGTTAAGTATGTTTTGTTCATTGCTATTTGCTTTAAGGTGGTCATCACCTCTTGAAACAATTTTTTTTATTTTTAAGTAAATTTAGGCAAAAATATCATTTTCTGAAAGGCATAGGTGATAGAAAATGACAAAAAGAAAAATTTTTTCACAAACTCGTTAATTAGCCTAATTATCCAAGATGGCGGCTGCTAATTAAGACTTAATTGTTTCGCATTGTAAACATGATAACTCAAAAACCAGTTGTTAAAACAAAATAAAACATACATTTTTGAAAAGCTTAGAACCTGTTCTATTATGTGACACTCTTTAATTTTCATTTAATATCTTAAATAAAATTTTAGAGTGAAATTTAGAACTTTTTCAATTATTGCACATTTTTACTGCAAACATTTGAAAGAAATTTGGCTTTAATTCATTAAATATAAACAGCATTAAAAATTCAAGAGTGTCACATAATAGAGCATAATATAGTTAGTAAGTATGCCAAATATCAAGCCTCTGCATCAAATATTTACAAATTGATAGTGTCACAAAAATCACTGACTAGAAGTCTTTCATATGCCATTAAAGCTTCTCTCCATGTCTGGATCTGTCCTATTCGTAACACACCAGCACTATACGAGAAGTATTTTTGATATTTAGAGACCTTTTCTGTCGACACATTAACTGAATTGTAAATCTCTATAAGATCTTCGTCGTCATATTTCTGAAAATCTTCAGCTCCAACTGCTTCAGGTAGAAGGTAAAGCTGATCAGGGATCCCTGCATGAGTGTAAAACCTGATTTGCGTACATAGTGACTGTTCCACGATTCCTTGATTTGGTCAAGTCCTTTTTAAGACAGGACTAAACCAAAACCATAGACACTCAAGTTGAAGTACGTTGCTTGTGTCTAAAACCCCTTTAGCTATCAAATCCTTAAAAAAATTCATCCACCACGAGGCCCACGAGCGACGTAACATGGCCCACCATGCTTCTATTCGCTGATTGCTGTGTGATGATCCATATTGACGTCAGAATGTGTGTCCGTACCATCTCGGCGTAAGAAACACTGGGCTGATGCCATAATCCCATTTTCTGTTCCCCTATCTGTTCTAAGAATTTTAGGACAGAGTTGCATATTAGATATGCAGTCGTAAATAGCCTGCCCACTACGCGGGGATCATTATTAGAAGGAACTATAATTAACCACAGTATTTTCCTGCTAAATCCATCTATACACCCATGAATGGGGAAACCATACGGTTAAAGTTTGTCGTAACCATCGGCATGCCAGCAATAATTTGGCCCCGGATTCATGTAAGCTCTTCTACGACGACGGTTAGCCCGTCTCCATTTCGATCCCTCTGGATCCACTTCTCGAAGGGTGGTTTGAGCAACCAAACGAGGAACTTGCAAGCCATTTTTGACTGCAATCGTCTCCACATGGCTCTATAGCCCAACAATTTACCACTTCCATCTAGTTCTCGAACAATGCATCTTCTTACGTGGTCTTTATCAACGGTATTTCCACGTCGGTGCAATCCATAAAGCTTAAGCTTATTCAGCAAAGTACTTCTGGAGATGCGAATTCCATGATATTTTTGTAATAGCTGTAGGATTGTATCGTACGTGTAGTTTTTAGTAAAATAGTTGCGAATGATATCTTCCATAAGTCATTAAAGTAGTGTTTAGCAGCGGAAAGAAATGTCAAGTAATAGACTGCCGGCTTTTCCTTTTTAATTTTGAACTTACGTTTGTTAGTATTCGAATTTTTGTGCGCGTATGCTGTTATTTGTAAGTGTGCATCTGGAATTTGTGCGCGTATGCTGTTATGTGTAAGTGTGCATCTGGAATTTGTGCGCGTATGCTGTTATTTGTAAGTGTGCATCTGGAATTTGTGCGCGTATGCTGTTATTTGTACGTGTGCATCCTCGAATTTGAGCGCGTATGCTGTTATTTGTAAGTGTGCTTGTACTTGTGGGCCACCGTACATTTTGGTTTTATTTGATCAAAACATACTGTTCCTAATGCTTTGTTTAATTTGTTACAAACAATGAATATGAAATGAAGGACGCTGATTATTTATGTCTTCACATAATTTTTTCACGGGTGAGGTCTTCCGTCAAAGGATGAGAAGATTTTGAGTTCTTTTTCAGAATCTTTTCTTTGTACTTTTTTCCACAACTTTCCCAAGATCCTTTTTAAGTGACGTATTGTGGTGTATGTAAGTATATGTTAAAGTATGACATTCTAAGTAGACACAAAATTTCAAGTTTCAGTTTTTCATTCATTGTTATTATGGTATTATACGTAGAGTAAAATAATTGGTTTCATCTAAAGGACAGGATGAAAAGCATCAACTTACATCAGTATCGTTTATTTAATAAAAAAAAAACGTCTGATGTATGATAATGCGAGACTCAGTGTGTAAATATTTCAAAATCATTTTTTTGTCATTATACAGCGGATGCTGTCGTATAGCAACTATTGTGGACTTTTACATCATGTGCATAATTTTATTCAAATGTATTAATGTTTACGAGTGACGACGTCACAACTTTCTACACCTTTGTGCATTAATATTGTTGGACTATTGGAAATATTACTGTATTTGTTCTTGTTCTGTTTCTTTTTCTGTGAAAGCAATGATTTCATCCGTTGTGCTGTTTTCTCTTGTCGTTTTTGTTGATTCAGGTATTGATTGCCAATATTGTGTATCTTCTCTTTAACGTACTTAAGATATTATTGGGCAAGTACTTTATACTTGGTATAATACATTTCGCCGTCATTATATGTTATTCTTTGGGTATATTTAGGTTAGTCTTGTTAATTCTTCTCTTTCATATTTGTGTTTATACATCACATCGTGTTCACTATAAGTTTGTCACGTTACACATATAAAGTCGTACTGAGTCCTTGAATGTAAGAGCGAATACTTCTTCTCAAGCATTTAGAAAACTGTGTCCTTATACTTGAATCATTTTGTCCTAATAACGTAAAAAAAATTTTTGATATAAGTATCTTACGTTTTCTACAACAAAGCCCCCACTGGCCTTATACAATATATTGCTCACAATGTATTTCATTTTGTTATGCGTGTGGCAACGCGTTTATATGTAAAATTGAACACTTCCTTTGCCGTCTTTAACTGCTTTCGTTTTTAAAAGGGTAGAGTAGACAGCTTTATGAGTTTCCCCGCCTTCCCGAAGATAACGTGTCGAGGAAAACTACAGAGTTATAGTGGATACAATTCATACTACTTATAAAAACACTGAAAGCATCTTATAACAACTAATTCATGCAAACTACGCGTGTTTGGACGACTTGTTGCTATCGTGTATAGCTTGGATTGTTTATATTCTTAATGATTGTTTTATCGTTTGAATGATGGACATCTTGTTCAAGACAAGCGTGAACATCTACCAAATTAGTGTATCCACTATCAACAAGTGAACATTTAACAAGCGAGTTTCATTTGTATTTTGCGTTGAGCATTCGTAAATCTCGAAGTTAGTGATAGCAAAATTATCGTTGTTATGAGTGTGAACGACTATTATGTTGAGATGGCAAATTTTGTACCAGCATCATGTTTATATACGATTTTTACCAATTTTTAAAGAAATTTGAACAAGGAATGCAATAATTAATGTATTACCGCCACTTTGCAAATATATTGGGTTGTTTGTACAAGATGCTCAATGATCGAAATGAGCGTTTGACTGGTTTTCAAGAGATGCTGAAATAAGCCTTGTTTTATCACATGTTTTTCTAATGCAATGTTTGATATTCACTATGACAATTGTTTTGTCGACATTTCGTGCGTCTAATCAAAAAAATCAAAAGTATCCGATGCATTTGTTTTAATGTTTTGAGTTTTTCAACATGAACGATGCATTTACTCTGATGCACACCCGCTTGTTGTCGGCAAACTCAGCAGTCTTCTTCAAATGAGTTGTGTAGAAAAGGGTCTTCGTTCAGTTTATTGCTCGATCTGAGCTAATTATGTTGAAGTGGAAAAGTATTGGCTTAAAATTTGATCTTTCTAATCTGCTATCCATCTTAGCATGCAACTGGCCTGTTTTGGTAAAATTTATATTCTTGCTATCGTTTAAAACAGATGTAAACGAATTTAAAGTTTTTTTTGCTACAAAAACTTTCATAAGACTTTGGAGAACTTTTTGAACAACTCTGTTTCTTTTACATAAATAAGACTTAAGTATTTCAAGAATTTTAAGGAAATGTTAGGGATGATGCTCATAATTTTGTTCTCAGTTCAGAACCGAAAAATTCTTCCCCATTTTTGATAAAAAAATTTTAAAGCGTAGGTTTATATTTGTTGACAAAATAATAAATATCGTAACAAAAATCAAACATGTTGAATTCGTATTTCTTTCGCTCCTGGAACCGTTAAAGTGGGAGGAAGGCTGTATTTTGTACTAAAATTGATCACTTGTACGCAGGAATTATGAAATTAGTTGACGGGATTGTAACATGAAAGTCAAAAACTCAAACGAAAAGGTTCTGTCTCATGCAAAATATGGTGCTTTCTTCAAGTGGCTGCCAGTGGTGGTTGCATCTTGCAAACGTCACAACACATCTTTCCTGGGGCTTACGATACATTCCTTGTTCAATACCAATGTGGGGAAAACTTGCTTGAATTAGATACAACATTAAAAAGCACGTTTACTTAGGTGAATTTTTGTCGATTCTCCTGGAATAATTTTTTTCTCTTTATTTTTTGTTTTTAGTCTCTGGTCAGCAATTCGAATCTGGTACAAAATTTTACAGAAGGCAGTTTACTAATATCACTATTCCATGGATTTTTACTTACAATGGCGACGGTTCATTTATTACAACATGGAAATATATGGGCACAAGTCCTGAAATTGTAATATACCGTCTTACTGATAAGGGTCTTCCCTTGAACGATCCAATTCCACGAAATCAGTTTTCTGGTAGAGTCAATTTTATTGGAGACGTCATAAGAAACGGAAGTAAAGATGCAACATTGTCTATAAAAGATTTTACTAAGCAAGATGAAGGAGATTTTGAATGTTCAATACAAGGAGCTGTATCAATAGCCCATAAAGTTACGATCGTAGCAATAGGTAAAATTCAAAACCATCAAATTATCCCTTCTTATTTGTTTATTTTCAAGATGAAGTCATGAACTTTTCTATTGAAACTTGATAAAGAGTTGTAGAATCATGTTGTTTGTTTGGTTCTAATATGTATGGATTCTTATTCAAACTCCGAGGTTTGGCTCGATCACAATCAATGCATATTACCATAATTTCTAATTAGATTTTCTTTTTTCAAACATGTTTCGACATTATGGCATACTGAAGATGGCATTCTAATAACGTCGAAACATGTTTGCTCTCAAAAAAATCGTCGTTTTTCTCAAGTGTTTTTTAACAATGCATATTACGCTTTTGGTGTTTATAACATTTTGTTTTTTGATGATATTTTAAGATTTGTGAAAAGTTAAGGAAAGATATAGTTTATATTTTGGAATAATTTTGTTTTCATTCGTCAATGGACGAGTTAGCTTCTTTAAATATAAGCCAATAAAAAAGTGCTTAAACTTACAGGTGGAGGTTTACGGTAGTTTACAAACAACATTTTAGATGGGTCACAAACTGTGAGGCTTCACCTATATCTTTATCTTGCCTAAATATGTTTTCATTTTTTGTCTTTTTTTTCTTAGTTCTATCGAACGTAACAAACTTTCGAGTTATCAATGTCGCGAAAAATGATGTGGTGCAAGGGACGGAAGTAACGCTTAGCTGTACTGCTACAGTTGGAAAACCATCTTCAAATATTGAATTATTGAAAGGAACTAATGTACTGAATTCTAGTATGACAAGTGCTACAAGTAGCATGACCGTCTTTTACAATTTTAAGAACATTACAAAGAAGGATAGTGGGGAGTATATTTGTGAAGTTAAAACAACAAATGGTTATGTATCACGAAAAGTTTTGCAGTTAAGTGTCAAATGTAAGTAAGATGTTTGTGGTTTTTGCTATTTCTTTGTTGCATATAAAGTTTAAACTATGATAATTATATTTATAGATCCTCCAGAAATTGCAAAGTCGGTAACGACAGAGCAGTTTGGCTGTTTAAAAACATCTATTTCACTTGGCTGTGAAGCCTCTGGAAATCCGAAGCCTAAAATACGTATTACTGGTCCTAATAAAGAAAGTCTGAATAATGAATTTATTCTTCAGAGATTTGGAGTGTATATTTGTGAGGCCAATAATACACTAGGAAGTGATAAGCGAAATATCTCTGTTTCCCTCGCGGAAGGTATTTGATTTTTACGTACACCTACATAACTTGCCAACTTCTCTAGCAAGACAAGTAGAAATGAGTTGTTATTGTGTAAACTTGTTGTCCATCTGTATTTCAATAGATAAGCCTGGGGAGCCTGTCTTCTCACAATGTGCGTTTGATAAACTCACATGGTTACCTTCGATATCCAAGACCAGTGTAAAATACACTCTGCAAGCAAAAGAGGTTTCTGGTATCTGGTTCGATATTCTTACCTCTTCTGATACAATGTACAGTCCGTCAACGAATGAGACCTTGAGCAATAGCAAAGATTATGAGTTTCGTGTTGTTGCTTCAAACTGTGTTGGTAGTACAGAGTCCAAGATCTGCAGTGTAACAGGTAGGTTTCAGAAAGATTGTGAATTACTACATAATTGTATTGAAGGAAGCCCAAAATGAAAGCAACAAACGAATGTATTTTGTTGGGATATATTACTTTAAATCGTTACGTGTTATGCGTATACCTAATGATGATGTCTTTTTTAATGCAATAAAACCTATATGCTAGAGTCTGCCAAGTCCCATTTTGGTTTTATTTGATCAAAACATAGACATCATAGACAAATGTTGTACTTTAGAAAAATTAATTGAATATGAATGCTGTTCGTACTTTTACAGTCCAGTACATGTTTTACTTGCATGTTTTTCTAGCTGTCTTTCATAACTATTTTGGACATCTAACACCACCGTTCACAATGATCTCTCGTTTCTCACTCCAGTTTAACGTATTTATACGCAATTGGAAATACCTAAAAATAGAGAAATCCTACAAGACTTTCTTAGAGAATATTTCTTAGCAAAAGAACTTGTCACAAATGACAGAAACTGTTAAATTAAGATCTTTCTTCTATGCTTTCAGTCTTTACTTTTTCTTCTTATTTAAAGCCAAAACCTTTGGATCATTTTTCATTTAATCTTGCGTTTGGTCACAAATGCCCTTCATTTATATTGTTAATCAATCATTTGTTAGGACAAAAAACTCCGGGAAAGCGATCAGGTGACAGTAGCAATACTGGTGTTATTGTTGGGTCCGTGATTGGTGCATTAGCTGTTATAATAGTTATTCTTATCCTGCTAATTTGTTGGAAAAAAAGGCAACAAAGAAAAGGTACATTGATAGTAATATCTAGTATGTTATTTGTTTTTGTTGTTTCTTTGGAACTAGTTAGGCTTTAAAATTTGTCAGTTTGGTATCCCTATACATGTAAGCACTATATTTACTTACGTATCTCTGGCAAGAGCATTTTTGCTATGGTATTTTTATTTCACGAAATATTTTTTGTATAAATATGCAAGGAGCAGCAAAAGTTTCTACGACTCAAATAAATAATGCACCAATAATTAAATAACGTCTACAGCATTAAATGAAACACTCGCGTTTCGTTTAATTTTTATCTTTTTTTCCTGTTTCTGCATTTAATTTTGTTTTCTTTAACTATTTTGTTTTTCGTTTCAGATTCGTCCAATGTCAGGTACGTTTATCATTAAATACTTTCAGCGTTTTTAATGAACCGAAGTTATTGAAATAATGATTTCAGTGTTAAAATGTCAAAACAGAAAGCATAAGAGATGTTGTCTGTTGTCCTTACTTCTTTTTTAAAAGTTTAATTTCCTTTGCCAGTAAGAAATACAAGCATATTTTCTTTTTTTTGGCATGCATGGTTGCAAAGAATTGTTATTGATGTTCAACTTTATGGTTTTAGAGTTAAGTTAAGTCCTACAAAGAATAACCGTCAAATGTTAAGGTAAAACATTATTGTAATATATGTTTTGTATTTGTGCCGGTACGGTTCGAAATTGCCCTCTGAAAATGATTTGCATTTTTTTCCAAGAATGAAGGTGGAGTAGTATACCGTGACACTCCAGATATGAACACGCCTCAAGTTCCTCCTCCAGCGCAATATCAACGAGATGACAATGACGATCATTATGAAAATGATTATAATCAAAAATCCACCAATATACCCTCTTGGGTTTAACAATTACTTTTCTCATATGTATAATTTTAAATTTATTTGCCGTTCGCCTTTCAAAGGAATTTTGTCCTACTTAGAGCGTCATCGCTTTCGGTCAAGTAAGGCCACATAACAGCAGAATGCTTTTCTCGTACGTAAAAGTGTACTTCTCATAAATCTAACACTTAGCATTTACAATTTAACACATTTCAGTTATTTTTTCGCCTCTAGTAATTTTTAAAATTCTGTGGATTCTTGAATGTATTTGTTCCTTTGATTCTTGTTCATACAAATACCGTATATATAAATATATATATGTATGAAAATTTGTAATCCAGGCATGTTTATTGTTTATAATAGAGCATTCTAGATATAGATATATATATGAATATACGTTAAAAATCGCCCTTAAAGAATGGTAAAAAATAAATCAATCTTGTGTTAATTTTGTTTGTTCATAATTTGGGGTGGCACAACCAGGAGTGCTCTCTGGGCACTGTCCCCTTAAAAATTATTGAGTTTTTGGCCTGTAAACAAGTCACAATTTTGCCATGCGGAATTTCCCCCTTTTTTAACCTTTTAAGATTTGTGGATTTCTTTTATTGTCCCCCCTCCTCCAAAAGCAATTTGAAGATGTGCAAAATTTTCAACCCTTTTTTACAACCTTTAGAGTGGAAGAGACGTGCGTCACTGGATTTGTAGTGTAATATAGGCATATCGACGATGTTTTGAGTGAGAAAAATTTTTTAATTATGAGGATGCTTTACGATGTATTTCAGTTTTGAGCTTAATCATCCTGCAAGGAAGCAAATTATTCGAGCTTTTGCTTCATGTTGAGTTCATAACATTGGTTTCAATAGATTGGTTTGCACAGGATAAAGCAAACTCACTTATAGAATAGACCGATTAGCGCACGCGTTGTATAACCTTGGCATGCAACATTTACGCACGGCGTACCTATTTTCTTGGATTGATGAAAGTCATGACGACACAGCAGTGCGACACAATGACGTCCCTGAGTTGACATCATTTGTAAATTGTATGTTTTTGTACATTGAGTACGTTGTGTTCAACTATGTATGAATATATTTTTGTAGTCGATTGTAAATCATCATTCAGGCTATTACAATTAGTATTATAGTTTGTGGACGATTACAAAAACAATGACTTAATGACTTATGGAAGATATCATTCGCAACTATTTTACTAAAAACTACACGTATGATACAATCCTACAGCTATTACAAAAATATCATGGAATTCGCATCTCCAGAAGTACTTTGCTGAATAAGCTTAAGCTTTATGGATTGCACCGACGTGGAAATACCGTTGATAAAGACCACGTAAGAAGATGCATTGTTCGAGAACTAGATGGAAGTGGTAAATTGTTGGGCTATAGAGCCATGTGGAGACGATTGCAGTCAAAATATGGCTTGCAAGTTCCTCGTTTGGTTGCTCAAACCACCCTTCGAGAAGTGGATCCAGAGGGATCGAAATGGAGACGGGCTAACCGTCTTCGTAGAAGAGCTTACATGAATCCGGGGCCAAATTATTGCTGGCATGCCGATGGTTACGACAAACTTAAACCGTATGGTTTCCCCATCCATGGGTGTATAGATGGATTTAGCAGGAAAATACTGTGGTTAAATATAGTTCCTTCAAATAATGATCCCCGCGTAGTGGGCAGGCTATTTTACGACTGCATATCTAATATGCAACTCTGTCCTAAAATTCTTAGAACAGATAGGGGAACAGAAAATGGGATTATGGCATCAGCCCAGTGTTTCTTACGCCGAGATGGTACGGACACACATTCTGACGTCAATGCTCATCAATATGGATCACCACACAGCAATCAGCGAATAGAAGCATGGTGGGCCATGTTACGTCGCTCGTGGGCCTCGTGGTGGATGAATTTTTTTAAGGATTTGATAGCTAAAGGGGTTTAGACACAAGCAACGTACTTCAACTTGAGTGCCTATGGTATTGCTTTAGTCCTGTCTTAAAAAAAGGACTTGACCAAATCAAGGAATCGTGGAACAGTCACTATGTACGCAAATTCAGGTTTTACACTCATGCGGGGATCCCTGATCAGCTTTACCTTCTACCTGAAGCAGTTGGAGCTGAAGATTTTCAGAAACAATATGACGACGAAGATCTTATAGAGATTTACAATTCAGTTAATGTGTCGACAGAAAAGGTCTCTACATATCAAAAATACTTCTCGTATAGTGCTGGTGTGTTACGAATAGGACAGATCCAGACATGGAGAGAAGCTTTAATGGCATATGAAAGACTTCTAGAAGCAGCTTAAAGCAAATAGCAATGAACAAAACATATTTAACATTAATAACTCAAAACGATAACGTATATGGTAATCTTATAAAGAAATAAGATAATTTCATATTCAGGGAAGGTCCATAACCTCCATCTTCATATGACACCACATCATTGTCCATAAAATCTTTTTTAACAAAAGTGAACTAAAAAAAGTGTTTCTACAATGTAAAACACAATATAATATGTCATAATAGTGTGCTAAAACATGTGATAGAACTTTCATACAATGTCAAACGACCAGGCACTTTTTCTCTTAGGATCGACGAAAACTCCTCTACAAGTTCATTATAAAATTGATAAGTGCTGGGAATCTCTAGCAATGGTCCACATGTGTGTGCTACAGGACGACGTTGTAAACCATTAAGTTCTGTA